GGAGAAAGGCTTTCAAAATGCGGTGAAAGTCCTGAAAGAAACATTAAGGAGAACTCTGACATACTATACTTTGGTGCTTATAAATTCAAACATGTTATGCAACTGATTACTTCCCACTTAGTGAAACGGAACCAGACCAGGTACCACATACACGCACATGGAACTCCATAATGCTGGCCAACAGGTGAGCTATCCTATCCGCTGCTCATTCAATCGAAATTAAATCAACATGCAATTAACTTGCTTTTGGCCAAATGAATCGAGCCATTTAAAGAGCGGTATTCCGCATGTCTTCGTTTTGCGGATCCCATTGAAAATGTGGCAGGAAATGAAACGGAAAATGAGCAACGAGCAATGCTGGCTATTGTCTTTAAAATGTCTTGCCACATTGCTGGCTTGCACATGCAGAAATGCAATAATTTAATGGGGATCTGAGCCATAGACACGTCCACGAGCATTGCCCTTAACCGAGTTTGGACCTCGATGGCCAATAAATTACATTAAAAACCATCTAATTAATGCGACACCACTGGGTATATGAAAACACAGACGTGACGACCTTCGATTTCTGGACGATTGAACAATAAGAATTCCCAAAAAAAAAACAATAATCACAAAAAACCGAAGACAAACGCAATAGGCTTGGATATTTCTTTTTGGTTTGTTTGTTTCGTTGATTTCCCATTGCGTGCCATTAATTTGCATTGCCTAAATGTAGTCGTTGATTTTGAACTCTTTTTTCTTTATTGAGATTTATAACATTTATGGCCATAAGCTTTCGGCGGCGATTACAACATTTAGAGCAAGTCACGTCTCCAGGCCCAAAGAAAAGAGGTTTTCAAAAATGGCCAAAAGAGTGGCTTAAACCAAAAAAAGAGAGGCAAAGCCGGCTTAAAGCTTTGCCAGCAAAAGCTTCGTCATTGTTTACACACGAAACCGTTATCAAAATTCAAGGTCTGGCCAAGTTTTAACTCTCATTTTCACCGGAGACAGAGAAAAAGTTGGGCGAAGCAGAGCTCTCATTTCGCCGGCTGCACCTGCGCAACGTGTATTTAACCGTAGGTGCCCGGTCTTCAGCGCGACAGTCGATTCCCCGAAAGTGGCCAAAGTGGTGGTAACAGCCGCCCATTCCCCAGTGGAAAAAGTGTTATATTTTAAAGAGACCGCCAAAAAGTGAATTCTCAGATAGTGTCTTAAGTTAAGCGTTTTTCACCAGCTGTAATCGGGAGCCATGAGGATCCAGCGGCATTTTGTGGTAATTACAAGCAACGAATAGTGAAAAAGTGTCGCGAAATGCAAATTAACATGGAATTGGGGTTGCTGCGGGTGTTGGCTGCACAAGTGGAACTAATGGTTACTCAGCCCAAAGTCGGCAATCATTTTGGTTATATTTGCATAAGCTGCAAAGTTTCTTCAGCAATAAGTTTTAGGGATTTGCGCTTCAGTGAATCTCTGCTAGGAAATTGCAAAACCTTGGTTTAAGCTTGGATTGAAAGGCGTTATTTTATTGCATGATATTCAGTATTCATGTCGACAGTATTCTTTTGAAAATACATATGTTTATTCAATTATATTAATATTAATATTATAATATTTATTAATATTAATGCAAAAAGAAGTAAAGCATTAGCCTTGAGAGTAGTGAAATCGAATCATTTTTCAACAAAAAAAAAACAAACATTTATTACCAACTTAGAATAGTATAATAAAAAAAACGAACAAAAAAATTAGATTATGTTTTATTAGAAATCCTCAAAGTTATTTTTTGATTCAATTAGTTTTAATGATATGATTATTTTCATAAATCATTATTGAGTAATAAACTTAATTTAATGTGTATTTTTTTTCAACAAACACTTATTAGGAACAGTTTAACAATTTGTTAATAAGGATTGCAAGCTTAGAATATTACAATTAAAAAAAAAAAACTAAATATCAAAATTTATTTGATTACAAATCTTCAAACTTATTATTTGCCTCGATTTCGAATGATATGGTTTTTCAATTAATCATTTTTCAGTTATAAACATAGAGTGTACGATATTTAAATTAATTATTTTAAAATAAACATGTTTTAAATATATTTTTAATATTTTTTTATACGATTATTTTCAATGATGTGATCATTTCTGAGTAATCAATTTAATTAAGTATGTTTTTCTATTATTTCCTTTGCAACCAACATGTTTTAAAATAATTTTTAAGGGGCCCATGAAAACACTTTCTTCCTGTCGCTCTGCGTTTGTCAATAGCACGATCCATGCATTTTTCATTGGCTTTAAAAGACCCATGACTGCCCGCCCGTTGGATTCCCTTCCGACTTGCGCCGCATTGTCAACAATTAAAATCGCGATCGTTTCATTAGCGAGGGGATAGCTATATATCGTATATATCGGTAAGGTGCACTGCGGAGTGGAGTCGCAAACTCTTTTCCCTCACGACCGATGATCCAACTGCAGGCGAAACCAGTCGGCTGAGTAGCTTTCACTGCCCACTTGGGCGAGGAAGCTGACACGATCGATCTGCTACAATTAGCACTATCCGATGAGATAATTTTTGCTGGCGCTAATTTTCATTTCATAATCGGCCCAGGCCGTACCTCGTTGACATTTATGCGCCAAGTGATTGGGATTAGGTTGTGGGCTTTTGAAATTGTACCCACGAATCGGGCTAATTTTGCGAAATCACGAAGGCGTTTTGCTCTGACCTTGTTGGATTCTCCAAATGCAGAGGGCTTGCGTCATTTATCCAGCAAGTTCCATATTTATCTTAACAATACAAAAACCTATTTACATAATAATACAAATTGACCAAATAAAGAGGGGCCAGACCCAAAAAGTCTTTGGCCTGGCATAATTTGTCATCAACTGGCCAACTTGACCCAGGTCAGGCATTGTATAAAATCATAAACATCAGAGGCGCTATCGTTATGCAACATTTCTCTGTAGGTCTCCCAAAACAATGCCAGACTGTGACCCACTTAAAACTCGTTTTCAGTCACTCACCTTTCTTTGGAGAATATGGAATTCATTAACATGGTCGTTGCGAATTCAATTTGTTCGAGCTTTCTTCATGCCCCGAGTTTGTTGTCTGAGTCTTTTGATTTGTATCTTTTGGATTTGTTTGATTAAAACAAAGTACATCTATCTTTTCTGTCTTTGATGATGAAACCTTTTAAACTACATACTTTGGATGTTTAATTTTACTTGCTTTATCATTTATATCGTTTCGATGCTTGATGGTAATTTCATCAACTTTTCCCTGCCTTTTTTTAGTTGGGTCTGCTCGGTGTGCTCTGCTGGGCCATCGGAGGCAGTCAATCCAAGGCTGTGGTGGATCAGCAGCCTGCCGCTTCCCAGGTGGACAGCAAGAGCGTCGCCCAGCAGAGGATCGATTTGGGACTGGGATTGGGACTGACCGATGGCCTGATCCACGATCACGATCACCATCACGAGCACATTGTAGAGCACCACGAACACCATCACGAGCACCATGACCCCGGGTACTGGAAGAAGAAGGTCACCTGGAAGGAGGGCTGGAAGAAGATCTGGAATCCGGCCAAGAAGCAGATCTGGAATCCCTCGTGGAAGAAGGTGAGCTATGGGAAACTATAAACAATAATTATAAAAGAAATTATATAAATTAATTCAATGAACTACATTTTTAAGTTCAATTGCTCACTCAAAGCAATTAATAAATACACTGGTATTAGATTAAGTTTACTCAAAACATGGTTATGATATCATTAAACAAAGTTATATATACAATATTCAATTAACTACTTATTTTAAAGATATGGAAGCCCCATTGGGTTAAAGTGCCTGGCTGGAAGGAGATACAGGTTCCCGCCTGGAAGCAGATTTGGGTAAGTTATAAAGCCATTGCTCTTTGGAAGTGTGCTTAAGATCTTTGACAATATTTAAGGTGCCACACTGGAAAGAGATTTTAGTGCCCGCCTGGAAGGACATTCAAGTACCCGATTACAAGCAGATTTGGACACCAGAATTAGTCAAGGTAAAAACGAACACCTTATATATTTATAAATGAATAAATTTAAAAATCTTCTTAATTTTTAGGTTGGCATTCCTGGCGAGAAATATCTTGGCAAAGATCACGAAGGTTGGGAGTACACCAGTCACGATTTGTGGAAGAAGGTCAGTTATACATAAGCCTTTATGTGATTATATACCTCCTAAACACTCTAAAACATAAACCTATAGAAAGTGGTCTGGAAGTCGCACTGGAAGAAAATCTGGAAGCCAGCCAAGAAGCAAATCTGGGTGCCCGACAAGAAACTGGAGTGGAAGGAGGGCTGGAAGCAGTACTGGAAGCCAGCCAAGAAGGAAATCTGGACCGATAAATTGGTATGCTTAAATAATACAATTACTTAAAGAGTAATTAAATTAAATAAATTATCTAAAATTTTCCAGGAATGGAAGGAGGCATGGAAACAGATTTGGGTGCCCGGCTGGAAGGAGATCTGGGTTCCCGGCTGGAAGAAGATCTGGAAGCCAGTGGTCATTTCCGAATGGTTTCCCTCACCCGATCACCACCACGATCATCATCATCACGAGCATGGCTTTGATTGGGATCGCAAAGATACGGGTGTCACGGCTACCACGTCGGCCGATGGCAAGGATAAGGTGGTGTGGAAACGAGATGACACCAATGCCGCCGGCAAGCCCACTTTGCTGCAGCCAGTGGCCAGCGCCGACTTCCAGGCCAAGTCCCTGGAGGCGGCCAAGTCACCTGTAGCCGCTCCAGCCGCCTCCGTGGCAGCCACCTCGCAGTCATTCAAGTTTCCCGGCGCGTAGGAGGCCATTGCAACAGGTTGCATCACAAACGCCCGGTTCCAAGCTCCTTGTAAATAGTCGTAGTAACCAGTCGCTAGCTCATAAGGCCATCCATCCACTTCCATTTGCCTTGGCGTCACTTTAAATTATCTCTAGACTTTAATTACAATTACCAGTGAATACAAAATAAAAGATAAATAACTAAAAACTAAATTCAGTCTCAGTGTCATTTGTACGAGTGGCCCTTCTCCACCTCCCACTCGTTGGGGGCATTGGGCAGGGGCACCCACTCGTTGTGGATGGTGGGTGTCCAGACCTTCTTCCACACCGGCTCGTAAATCTTCTTGGCCCGCCAGTACTTCACCCACCGAGCGTTCCACGTGGTCTTGTTGGCCCAGAAGCCATCGGCCTGCGGATCCAGAGTGTCTGTGTGGCTAACACTGGCGAAAGGAGGATGGATTAGTGAAAGTGTAGCCTAGTGGTTGCGGAATCCTCTCACAAGGTGGTCGTCTTGCCGCCCAGACAGCAGTTGAAGAAAACGAACGCTAAGGCTAGCAGCCACATCAGCAGGGGTTTAATATTAATCCATGGATACGCCATCCTGTCGCCACTTTTCGCCGCTTTCATGTTTCGCAATTGACTGGACGCACTGTTAACCAATCTTCACGTTTTAAAGGCCTCCAGTTTGGCGGCAAATCGAGCTCCCTAATTGGGATTCAGTGCGTCTGTGCGAGTGAATTGCAAATTCCCGCACTTTGCACGATCTGATTTGATTGTAAATAGCCCTAGATGCCTTATATAACGCACACATTTCTTTCTTTCTTTTCGTTTTGTGGTTTATTTTTGTTGTTGCATTTCTTTCTTAAACTAATGTAAAAACGCTGCAAATGATAATCTGTATGTGTGTGACAAAGCTTAGGAGTTACAATTCATGAGGCCGTCTCAACAGACAAACAAAAAAAACAGAAACAGAAACACTAACATATTACTTTCGTTTTTTTACAATTGAGGCATGCATCTTACGAAATATACTTATGTTTGCTATATAGCTCTGTTTGTTTTTAGAGTGCATCAACTTAAGGCAGATATACAGATTAACTGATGTTGATCATGTGGTAGTGGTAGTGATAGCGTTACAATATTAAAGCCCTTAGTTACGCGTAGAAAGTTCGTTTGATTTTTTTGATTCTTTGTTACAAAGTTAGGTGAGTTGGGCAAATCGAGTTCGTTTGCTTGCCAACAATCGTTGTGTGAACACAAAATTTAGAACTAATATGGCACGATTAGCGCGAAATTAAGTTGAGTAAATGTCAAAGTAATTTCCTTAATATTAAATTTTACAAATACAAAATACAGCAAAAGGGACAGCACAATATTAATAATAGACAGCCCTGTTGCCAACATTAAGTGGATTGGGAATTGAAAATAACTCGCTTAGAGCTTCTAAATCATTGCAAAGAAGCTGGCAAAAAATGTTTATTCGTTGACGTGCCAGTTTCCCAATTCCGCATAAAATTGGACTTTGAGAACAGGGCCGTTACATATTTGGGATTCTAATTGCCCTGCGTTGTCGGTTTAGTCTGTTGTTGTTGAGTGATTGTGTGTGGCTTCTCTGCTGGAACTTCTCCATCTCCTTTACTTTCTCCTCGGATTCTCCTACTCGGTGTCAGTCTTTTGAAATACCATTTTGAAATCGATTCATCTAGATGCAGGCTTCAATTTGTTCGTTCGTTGTGGTTGTGGGAATGTTCTGTGGTGTTGCCTCGTTTCAGGGAGTGAGTGAGTGGTTTGGTGGGTGTGGTTTTTTTTCTTTTTGGCTGTGCACGTTTCAAGGGATTAGGCTAACTAAACTAGGTAGTCCACTAGGCTACGATGAGTACAATATATATATTTGAGTTCCTGGGTTTCTTTGTTTTTTTTTTTTTTTTTTTTTTTTTCAGGGCCCAGCTCATTCAAAGGACATAAGGTTGGTGGGCAGAGGTTTGGGTACTCGCATGTTGGCCAGCTTGCAAATGGCGTTCGACCAGAGGTGTGTCATCTGCGGACTGTCCGTCCGGAAGCGATAGACGGTGCCCAGGGTTCGGTGGCACAGCTCGAAGGTGTTCTTGTGCTTGGTATTATCGCTGACATGGGCATACCATCCGTCCAGGGGACACACTTTGCACGGCTCCCGCTTGAAGTCGCTCCGCTCACTGCCCTTGAAGGACTTGGGTGGGAAGTAGAGCAGCGAGTTCTCCCAGATCTGCAGCCAGTAGCGCTGCCACGAGGCCACCGCCGGCTTCCTTCCCTCCTTCTGGACCGTTTTTCGACGCACACATCCATGCATGGCGGCCGCTGCCTCCGGCGACATCAAATCGCAATCACTGCCAGTGAAGTCACACATTATTCCCTCGGCGCTCTCCAGTGATGTTAGATCAGCTTGGGATAGGGCGTCGCTGTGCTCCAAAACCGAATCATCGAGAAGGTGGTGACGAGGCTGCCCTTGACTGGGATCCAGTTCCAGATGCAGGTGGTGCGGATGCCCATCGCCGTGGTTGTGAAGCGCAATCTTGCCAAAGATGCTGCAAGGACACAAAACCGGTTAAGTCAACTGTTTTTTTTGGGTAAGGCATCCACATTCATGCTGTTCAAACAAATGAGAACAAATGAAATTGCAAAAAGGCAAACAAGAATGAACTGCGATTTGTGTTTATAAATGGTTTAGTCGTTTAATAAATGCAACAAGTGATCTGTAGGTAATTCTCAGTTACAAATTTAATTGAGGCTAATACTGGAAAGCATTTTCTTCTTCTTTTTCGTTAAATTTACAAATTTATGTGTATATATTGTGTTTTACTCATATTAGTTGAATGTGTTATTCTCAGTTACAAATTTAATTGAAGCTAGTACAGGTTTATTTCATAATAGTTGTATATGATCTGTAAGACATTCTTAGTTACAAATTTAATTGAAGCTTGGAAATAAAATATTTTTCTTTAAATTCATAAATTTCATATTTCCCATGAAAGTTTTATATTATTATTAAAATGGAGCTACAAATATATATAATTCAATTCAATATGTTAATGTCATTAATATTGCTATGTTCAATAGTTCCTCAAAGATTACATGTTTAAAATAAATACGACATTGCCTTTTGTATATGTAAGAGGACAGGATGTGTGCTGATTATAAGAAGTGAAGATGAGATCCCATCAAAGGAATGGTAAAGTGTGAAGGCGTGTGTCTTTTGTGTATTTCATACGAAGCAATTCCAACTCGGGTCCGTGCAAAAGAATAAAATTAGGAGGCCAAAACTGAACACTTCAAATGGTACAATGACGATAAGGCATCGGATCAGGATCAGTATCAGGATCAGGATCAGGATCAGTATCGGTTACAGGCTGGCATTACACAGGATATGGCCTAGCTACAGGACTCTGTTCTGGACTCACCGACGGCATGTGCAACGCTTGTTGGAGATGGTGCCAATGCCCGGCGCAATCATCACGATGCAACATTGACACTTCTCGGCAAAGTTTCGCGGCAGGCTGCTGCTGCGAAATCTTCATTCATTTTGGGCAGTGGCAGTGGCGAATGTGGACAATTAACGATAACACACACACACAGAAAACGAAAGCATAAGCCAAAATCAAAGCGATTCGAGTGAGAGATAGAGAATCAAACGAGACGAGGTTTAAACAGATTAATAAGAAGGACCCGATGTGTACACATGTCCAATTATTGCGCAGTGATTGGAGGTGGGTTGAGTTAAACAAGTGGTTAACAAAAAGGCAGCAGCAGCAGCAGCTGCTGCAGCAGGGGATGACTCTACTCACTTGGTGCCCAGACTGCGACACTTGCGGTGACCCGGCACGAACTTGGTGCCGCTGGCCATGCGCATGGAGCCAATGGTCTTGGCCGGCGAGAGATTCAGACAGCCCAGGGCCGGAGTAACAGCCTCCACGTTGAAGGATTCCTTCGAGCTGCAGGACGATGAACTAGGTCCAGAGGGCGACGCAGGCTCCAGGTTCAGAGATCGCCTGTAAGGTAAAACAAAATACATTAGTATAGTTAGTGATAATGTTTTGAGATACAAAAACCATAGGAAAAGAACCTGGGCTTAACAAAGCTGCTTAGTTTTTTTTATAGGAGTTTTCTTATAAAGTATATTTTTAATATTTGAATAAACTATTGAAATTGATGAAACTTATTTATTTATGTCATATAATTGAATAATGTCTTATTGATTGTTTTTATGAGGTTAAATGACGAATCCAGGGATTCTTATGAAGTATAATTCTAAAATTTGATTAATGAGTAAGAACTGATTTTGTTGTATGACATTATTTATATTACGTTACATAAGAGGTAAATTTCATGAGGTTAAATGATGAATCAAAGGAGTTTTATAAATTGTATTTTTAACATTTAGTTTAAGAATATATTAGAACTGATAAACTATACGTTTGTTGACGTTACATTAGGAGGAATTTCCATGAGGTTGTAAAGATTGCGAACACCGAGAATATAAGGTTTCTCATAAAGTATGGATCCTAAATTTAATTATTGAACAGATAATTTTGATCTTAGTCCATCAAAGTATGACTGTTAGTCTTAATTATAAAATACTGCTCAAATATATTTATCACGCCACACAAGGGGGATTATGAAGAAGTGTTCCAAATATCTCCAATGCAATACTAAACTATGCCCCTTACTTGTACTGGTCCTCCTCGAATATGTTCTGCAACTCCTCAATGTATCTTATGGATGTCAGATACTTCTGGGTGGCCTCATGCTTCTGCAGATGCTTATAGTCCGACTGCTGATAGTTTGAAATGACACGGAGTATGTTGTTCATCTTATTTCTCCGCTGCTCCGGTTCCAGTCCGCCCTTGTGCGGATGGGCCAAATCAATGTAGATCAGATCGGTGAGGAAGAGACCCAGATAGGGGATGCAGGGCAGGCGGAGGCTCTCGAGGTACGAACGCAGATTGGCCCAGTTGTCCTGGTCGCTGAATATATCGCTGAGTCGGTCGAAGGACTGACGATCCTTTTTCGATAGGCAAGCCCAGGTCTTTGTCAGGCGATAAATGCTAGCGCTTTGCATGGCCGAAATAATGGCGAACAGCGAGTGCAGATTGTTGAGCTCATGCAGCTTTTTGGCCACCTAAAATCAAATGATTTGATTATTATGTTTATCATAATCATTAGTTTATTCAATTATTCTCACCTTAATAAAGTGCGTCATTATCTCAGCTCTCTGCTTTGGCTGCTCGGCATTCAATATTTCCTGCACTGTCCAAAAGCTCGTGTGGTTGAATCGTTTGGTAAATGCCACAATATTGGGTGTGTTGACATGCTTGTCCTTTTTCGTCCAGGCGCAACTGCTCAGCTCATCCGGTTGGATGTGGCCGAAGACGGGAAAATCCAGTAGCGTTATCTGGTTGGCCAACACATCGGCGGGTACACGTAACGCGCTCATGATAACCGCATCCAACTGCTTGATGGAGGCGTGGGCCGGTAAACTTTGCGACTTGGACGGCGGTGCTGCCGAGGCTCTGAAAAAACCCAAGAAAATGTAATTAGGAGTGAGTTTTAAAATGCACTTCAATTTGTATCAAACGGATAAGAAAAAATAAATTGTATTTACTAACAAATTAACTAGATATATTTAAGTAAGCGAGGCAGGATGCATCATAAATAGATGTAGATATCTGTTTTAAGCTTATGACGTTAAATATATAGTATAAGTTGTATAAAGGTAATTGTTATCAATATCACTATTAAGTTTACCACATATACAAGGCATGTAACATTATATTATTGTATCTACTTTTTTAATGTCATAAGCTTCAAAAATGTATCTGCTCACTTTGTTTAAACTGTAAAATAAATTGTCTTTACTACCAAATTTACCACTTATATTTAAGTAAGCTAGATAACAGAGAGTTTTATTAAATAAAATTATAAATTAAAAAGCTTTTTGGGATAAAGTGTAACCCTAGTGATTACTTATAACTCACGCTATGGTATAGTAGCAGCCCGGTGAGTCTGGCGAGGAGGAGAAACTGTTTAAACAACCGATGGAGTTCTTGCGGCGAGTGCTCTTGATGTTCAGCGTTTTGCTGGTCTGCGGTTGCGACATGGGCGGTTCCATGTGGTGCTCCTTTTGCGACTTCTCCTGGCGCAAACAGGCCATGGTATGGGCATTTCCGTTGGTGTTTGGACTTCGTTGTTTGGACAGCCGAGTTGGCTGCTGCTGCTGTTGCTGCTGCGACGGAGGAGGAGGTGAGCTCTGCTTGAATTGAGTCGAGGCATAGGCCTGACCCGTGTATCCATTATAGTCCGTGGTGGGTTTTCTGCTTAACTGAAATATTAAGAAGCCATAGGCTTTAGCGTAAAAGTACTTTGACAAGGAAATTATTGAGATAGTCACCTCTGAGTAGCGCAAATTATCCGTGGCCAGGTCGCGTGAGATTTCCGAGTATCGCATCATGGCAGCCAACTCCGGCTGTCTGTGGACTTCGACCAGCTTTTCAAAACTGCAATGGTAGAGAGACTCGAGTTAACTTCGTGATAAAGTTTCGGCTTTCTGTGTGTTCCGCGCGCTGGGCAGACACTTTTTGTTGACTGAAACCGAGTTTGTTTTCCTCAGTTCTGCATTGTGGCTTTTGTGTTGCACGAACGGTATTAAAAAAAAAACGAAACAAAAAAAGAGATGGAAAAAAAAACTGGTGGCAAGTCGGAGCAGAGCTTCTGGCACGCTTCGCTGCTCGATTTCCAATGGAGCGGGCCATGTGAGTCACCATTCCCTGCTCTTTTATGGCAGCTCTCGAGTGGTCAAATGGTTTTTCGGGGGTGCAAGCCAAGCCGCTGATAAAAAGTATCGGGCTGCAGCGGTCAGCGGAAAGTTTGGTTGGAAAACAAGTCACCCGGTCAGAAACCAAATTGGTTTTCGACTTAGTTCACTGAACCCGTCAACTTTGGCATAGCTAGGAAATTAACAAAGCCCAATACTTCCGGAATTGTTCCCCTTTCGAGAAAACGAAATACTTTACATACAGTTTCTATTGGTGAGATGTTGGCATAAAATATAAAGCTATAGACTAGGGGTTACTTTCAAAATATGTTAAAATAATTGATTAAATTTAAGGCGATGATAAATTTTGATTTAATCATATGATGAAGCATTTACTATACCGAACACTACGGCACAGCAAAGAAAAGTAAAATAACCCAATAAGTTTCTAACTTTTCCTCTTTCGAGAAAAGAAAATGTATTTGCTTAAGAGCATAACATACATTTACTAGTGGTGATATAAGAAATACATTCACAAAAGTATCAAGGTTTACGCGAATTTATTAATGGCTTACTTTTAAGAAAGTGTGAATAACTTTAAGATGATGACAAATTGTAATTTCATCATTTGATGAAGCATATAAAGCATATAGCATATGAAGCATATAGCATATGAAGAGTATAGTAAATACGGCTTTTCAGAATATACTTATAAAAAGCAGTAGCCATTTACCATATACTACCCCCAACTGCATATATACATAAAATTTCTCTAAGACCGACTGTGCTGACCCCGTCTAATTAATTTCAATTAAGTTATAATCATTTCAAAGCAAAAGCTGATCAAACGCAGTGACGTCCGCACACATTGTCATTGGGGTTCTGTCTGCGGTTTTCTTCGATTATTTTGCGCCATTTTGTCGGAGCAAATGGAATTATCCGACAGCAGCGCAATTATCTCGAGAGACTTGTGGGCGAAACCCATAAGATACATAGTACTAGTTCCAAAACGGAAGAGGCTGATATCTGGGGCTGGGAGCGATATCTATTGTTTTTAATTCGGTATTCAGCCAGATAAATTCTATTCTAATCATGTGAAACTCGTGTCTCTCAGTTGGTATTTCATTTATCTCATAGCCCAATTGAATTACAGCGCATTTACAAAAATATACAGCAATTTATATGTGGGAGATATAGATGAAATGAAAACATTTTGGGCGGAAAAAACAAAAAAAAAAGATGCAGACCAGACAAAAGGCGAACTCAAATTATATTCCAAAATGCCAGACGACTGCCTCAAGATTTTTGAGCAAATGGACTTTATTGACTATTTGAACTATTCCATATACACATCACTCTTCGCTGTACATTCATATATTTATATATAGTGTAGATATACATGCCAATCTGTGCCATTTTTCTTCTGGATTTCCTTTTGCTTGGGCAGCTTTTTTATGGAGATATCAAATGCAATTAATGCCAAGCAATTAACTCGCCTCATGTGAGGGCACATAAAGTTCTGCCCACTGGGTTTTAATTTAATTCTTGGCATATGCAAATAATTCCTGCCAGACAGCGTGCTCCTTTAATGCGAATTTCGTAAACTTTTCGATGGTCGAATGTGAAATGGTGTTGCTTTCGTGGTCAGGGATATGGCGAAATCGAAATGTGTCTGTCTGTGTGGAGGCGAATCGCCACCCACTAAAGCTACTCCCCCAGATATTCCAGTGTGTGTTTATTGTTTTTACATAAATTTCTTGAAAGAAAACAAACAACAGCAGCTGCACAGTTCGAGGAAATCACATTTGCCTTCGCGATTCCGTTTCTCTGTTTTTTTGTTTATCAGGCCTGCACAATTGTATTTAAATAAAATAGAATACATACTCGCGCACATTTTCTACACAATCTCGAGGAAACTCGGCGTTATATTCTCGCTTCTCGTTTTGTGTTGGCGTTTCCCATTGATAAATTCTTTTTCTTGTGGGTCGCTCTGGAATTCGCAATGTGATGACAAGTGACTGGCCATCAAGAGAATTTGCAGTTCAACCTTTTTGCTGACTGGGACTGACCCTCGGCTTCTAGAAATAAGGGGGGTTAAAGATCTCTGGAACAGCTTTCTTTGCCACTCGGAAATGTGGCGAAATATTTACAAAAATTATGGTTACACACAAGGTCAACGGCGAGTGGCTGTCGCCAGTGATCTTCGCATTTACAATTTTCTGTTGCCAGGTTCAATAACCGCCTGCCAAGATTAAGATTAAAATTAAATATTTAGCATTTAATGCGATCAACCTTCGACTTGGCGTTCTCTGTGTGTGAGTGTGTGTGTGCGAAGTGGGAAAACATTTAGCTAATCTCCCATTGAAAAACCGAGGGGCGTTATCAGGCAATCGTCTCACTATTTGCTTACACATGCATGCCAGAATAAATACATGCAATTACGCTGGTTAAAAACAAGAGAGAAACTACAAATGAAAAGTGCCAAAGCAGCAACAAAGCAAGAAAGCCTGACTTTCAAGATCGCAGCCGCAGATACCCTAATATAGATGTTTTTTTTTAATTTCAAAGATGTTTTAAATTTATACATAACATGGTCGAAATGACTTGGCTGACCTACTTTTAGTCGCATTCAAACGCATTAATCCATTTTTAATATCTTAAAAAGCCTAGCAGTAAAGATTTTAATAAGCAGGACTATAATTTCCAATATTCAACCCCAAGTTTCCTTCAATTATCCTTAAATACATCAAACAGACTGACATAAAAGCAAGCTGTAAATTGTTTTTATGGTAGCCAAATGATATAGTCATCCGTTTCCGGCTGTTCTGAATTTGTATATACAACGAAAACCAAAATAAAGGTTTTGTGCATAATTTCAAACAGATGGCATTTGGATTAAGATTTTGAATTCTCCAGAAAAGACAGGTAGATATCTGAAGACAAGAAGAGAAAAATATGTCTGTTCTAGATGTTTATCCTCGATGTAAGATGTGCTGATAGATAAGAATGCTCAGATGTAATATACTTTTAGCAGCTAATATACTATACATATAATACCCACTTATAGGGTACGTAAAAAAACAAAGCGAAGGAAGGCCGAGCATTCGAGCTGGGGTTTTTTCTTTCGCCTTCTATTCTCATGTTTTGTATTTGTTCCATGAGGTGCTTATATGAGCATGCGATCCACACCACATGTAAGCCAACGCCAAAGTGGGTCACTTGGTGAGCATCCATCCAGTTGGAGCATCGAGAATCGAGCATCGAGCCTAGAAGTGAGCCACTTACCCAATTTCTGGTTCGAGTGGCTGTACTTAAGACCACGGAACACGAACAAAGGCAAAATTCGAAGCGAGGCAAAGAAGCCTTGAGATTCAGCATCTCTGTAACCCAGGCAAAAACATCTGTCGCCCATATCCTGTTGGGCCAGTCCAGGAAAAAACCAAGTACAGTACAAAAAATTATTGTGGAAATGAATATAGAAATTTCAGAAATTTGAACTAACTTGAAAATAATATCATCGGAAAAAATGATGCCTATTGAATTTAATTTTAATATTTAATCTATTTTGATTAAAAAAATATGATATAAATATATGTTTTTGACATTAAACACTGCAATAAACGCTTTTAAGGCTTTTATTAATATAAGCTGGTAAACATCAAAATATCGAAAACAAGACTTGCAAGACATGACCGACATAGGTAAATATATCATCTTATATATAAAGGTTTATTAAACCGCATAATAATTAAGTTCTTAACCCTGTACAGTATATTTATACAATTTTGATTATTCATTTCAACAAATAAATAAACAAATTATACATTTTTAGACCCAATAATAAAAGATTTCCCTGTGTTTTTCTTATGATTTCAAAATTGAACATTGTTTTCTGCTGTGTAGACCAACAGCAGCTGGCACTTGAACTTCGAGAGGCGTTGCTGGTGGGTTTGTGTGTATCTCCTTATCACTCCGCTTATCACCTGATCTAATGCCGAAAGGAAGTGCTAAGTGAATTTATTGACCGACCCCCCTGATGATTCACATTTCGAGACATATATATTCCATATATTCCACCATATTCCACCGGCAGGGGCAACAAATCGATAGCATTGAACACGAAATGGAAAACTGCGAAGCCGAACATAAACACAGATACAGATACACAGGCACTCACGCAATTTGCTTTCGTTAAGGTTCTAAGCTCATTGTATGCAAAGTGTACCTCCCACGCAACACCCACCACCCTCCGCCCACTTCTGGTGTAGTTTCGTAATCGGTCCGAAAAAAGAACACAAATTGCACTTGATACTTGGTTGTGTTTTGGGCGACAATTGGACAAAGATATGTATTAATAGCGCTGCATATTGTTATTTATAGTTTTCAGTTTCTCCGCCCCACGTAACCAGCACTTTCCACTCACTTCGTAAAACAACTGGAGCATTTTAATCCGGCTAATTGAAATTGAATTAAATTCGCGACGCCGCGCTCGTTTAATTACTATTCACTACACTTATTGGCTTCCTCCGCGCGTTTGTTTATTTGCTCGAGAACAGCGAAAATTGAGCAGCAAATAGCAAAAAACGATCCGCGCGCGACGCCGACTAGAGATGTAAAAACATCAATACCATCTCGTAGCCAACATCGATATCATCGATGTTTTAAAAATATCGGTCCTATCGATGTTTAGCAGTGCTTATCGATGTGTATCCATCCATCTCCCTGTCCTTCTGTTAGTTCGACGTTTGTCTAACATTTCGCTGTTAGTTCGACGTTTGGCTTACATTTCGCTGTTAGTTCGACGTAATTAATTAAATCAATTATTTAAACTGAGAATTATTAATCTGCCATATAAACATCTTGTAAATATAATAAAATTCCAACAGAAGTTTTATATAAAAATATATATTTAATTTCTTTACTTACATCAGAAATAGCTTTATCATTTCGTTCTTTTTTTGGGTTATTTTTCGCGCTTGCTTTTACAACAACAGGGACTTAAGACTACGAGGATGTGAGAAGTGAAAATGGACAGAATGGGCAGCGAGAAGTAGAAGAAGAATGGGCGGGCACAGGGAGATGTCAAAGGATGTGGGACAGACAATGGACATAGTTCTAAGAGGACTTACAACTAGGTACTGCTATAAGTTCGGGGGATGGATCTAGCTTAATGTGTCTGGGGAGTCGTTTCTAGTACCGATAACCGCTGCCATCGTTGTCGCCATTCTGACCGCCGGGTCCAAAGCCATTCCTGCCTCCTGCCTGTCCACCCGGCCTGCCGCTCGAGTATCCCTGGCCGTCCTGGTTGTCTTGGCCATTGGGTCGACCGCCTGGACGACCGCCGGAGTAGCCATCGCGGCCCAGATCCTGGCCGCCGGCACGTCCGCCAGAGAAGCCGCCCTGATCACCGCCGCCAATCACACGTCCACCGATGATCACACGACCGCCTTCGGAGCCACCGTTTCCGTTGCCGTTGCCATTGCCTCCAATGCCGCCTGGTCTGCCATTGGAGTAGCCACCTGGTCCCAGATCCTGACCTCCTGGGCGTCCTCCAGAGTAACCATCGCGACCCAAGTCCTGACCACCTGGACGACCACCAGAGTAGCCACCTGCACCCAAATCTTGACCACCTGGACGACCACCAGAGTAGCCACCTGCACCTAAGTCCTGACCACCTGGACGACCACTAGAGTAGCCACCTGCACCCAAATCCTGACCACCTGGTCGTCCTCCGGAGTAGCCACCTGCACCTAAGTCCTGACCACCTGGACGACCACCAGAGTAGCCACCAGCACCTAAGTCCTGACCACCTGGACGACCACCAGAGTAGCCACCTGCACCCAAATCCTGACCACCTGGTCGTCCTCCGGAGTAACCGCCATTTCCATTGCCATTGCCATTTGCAGGACGTCCGTTGGAGTAGCCATCGGGACCGAGATTCTGGCCGCCGGGTCCGCCAGGACCGCTGGCTCCACTGCCATCATTGCCATCTCCCTCGTAGCGGATCTGCGGTCTGTAGCCCTGCTGGTCGGCCTCGTACTCCACGATCTAGGAGAAGGAGAAGAAGAGACCAATAGTTAGCAGAGGAGGAGCAGTGGATCCACTCCCGTTGCCCGCCGCCGTCGCCACCGCCTCTTACTTGCTTCCGTCCGTCGGGCAACAGGACATTGTACTGGCCGGTGGTGAAGTCACCGTCGCGCATCTCTGAATGCCCGAACGAGAGTCCGCTGGGCGCGTCCTCAACCTGGTAATTAAATTCGTACTTGGCGGGCTCCTAAAAACGCATGGATCATGGACAGCGGATCATGGAGAATGGAGAGCGGAGGGCGGATTTGGGGCGTGTGGAGAAAGAGAGAAACACAGAGTGATAGAGTGGCTAGGATCAAGAATTCGAGCATTTCTGGTGGGGATGCAAGCTGAGTGCGGGTGAGCGAGTACGAAATCTAGCAAAGATTTGCAAGTGGGCAAGTGTGCAGCGGTGTGGGCGTTGGAGCGGTATATTATCCCCTTGGTCCAAGTGATCCCCTCTAGCAGATCCCATTTTCCAGTTGCCAAATAACCCAATAATCCAATAACCCATAACAACCAGAGCTACTCACATCGTTCTCGTAGTCAGCGCCACCAGGTCCGGATCCACTGCCGCCAGCACCGCCAGCGCCACCAGCTCCAGATCCCGAGGCTGGGGGTCCGTAGGAGTCGGAGGGACGGCCACCAGGTCCTGATCCTGGCGCTCCATAGCTGCTCGAAGGACGACCTCCGCCATTGCCGTTTTGGCCCTGACCAGGAGCACCATAAGAATCCGAGGGACGTCCGCCAAATCCACCTTGACCCTGAGCTCCAGGAGCTCCATAAGTGCTCGAAGGACGACCTCCGCCATTTTGGCCCTGACCAGGAGCACCGTATGAGTCCGAGGGACGACCACCGCCGTTTTGGCCCTGACCAGGAGCGCCATAAGAGTCCGAGGGACGACCACCTCCGTTTCCGCCACCAGGAGCACCATAACTGCTCGAAGGACGACCGCCATTTCCGTTGCCTTGTCCTTGGCCAGGAGCGCCATAGCTGCTCGAGGGGCGTCCTCCGTTTCCGTTGCCGCCACCAGGAGCACCATACGAATCCGACGGCTTCTGTCCCTGGCCAGGAGCGCCATAAGAGTCAGAGGGGCGTCCGCCGAAGCCACCTTGGCCCTGACCAGGAGCTCCATAGCTACTCGAAGGACGACCGCCTGCGTTGCCATTTCCACCACCGTTTCCGCCACCAGGAGCACCATACGAGTCCGAAGGTTTGCCGCCAAAGCCACCTTGTCCTTGTCCCTGACCCTGACCCAATCCTGGAGCTCCATAGCTGTCCGAGGGTCTGCCACCGCCACCAGGAGCTCCATAGGAATCCGAGGGCCTGCCACCCGGACCACTTTGACCCGGTGCGCCATAGGTATCGGATGGCGGTAGATACGAGTTGACTGGTGGCTCCGGTCGCCCAAGGACCACCACCACCAGGAGCAGCGTCACACCGACTAACTTGAACATATCCAACTGGAGCTGCGGCCTGCCAACTGCTGATCGAATCTGTCTAAGATGAGGCTAGCGCTTGGAAGCAGCGCCGAATTCTGACTGATCTCTGGCTGCTGCCACACGGCGTATTTATATGTGGTAAGGGCAAAACCAGCGACAAAAAAACTGAAACAGAAACTGAAACTGAAAGTCTAGGATGCACACACACGAACTCGATTATGAGTTGGAGGTGGCTTTGGTTGGGTTTTGCTTGTGGAGCGTGTGGCAACCGAAACAGCTGCCACATACGATCGTCTTCGGAGAAGCTGCTAGCTGATTCTATGCCGTCCACAGAAAATCTCAATCACTGAGTCGACTCTACTCCACTCCACTCCACAGTCCACAGACTGGATTTGGCGTGAAGGGTGATTTGCCTTCTTCTACCTCGGGCGCACATCTTCTCGAGGCGCGGCGTACGAGTTGGGTACGAGTTGGTGGTACACTCTGGATCCGCTGTTGCGTTGGCCCAAAGTAGTCTACTCGGTCTACTCCACTACTTGAACTCCACTGGGTGAATGCTTTGGCGGCGTCTGCCGTGGCTCACTCACTCTCCCAATCCCAAGCGAGTGGTTGACAAGCGCCGAAGTCTGCATTTGTTTGCCTTGTCAGAGCGAACAAAAAAATATACAAAAAATATAGTAAAAAGCCCAGCGACATATTGAAGAAGATCGTGCCAGCGGCGACCCCAATTGGGAGTAGGATCCGCAGATGCGTCTGATGGGTGTAGAAGGGTCGAGTCGATTTCATCGCATCGCATCGGAGATTGTGGCGATGGCAATGGAGATCAGTGGATCAATTGAGGGAAAAGGGTAGGTAAATGATATATACCCTGGAAATCTTTTGACTTATTGTTCTGATTATGCTTGAAATTGAAATCACTGGTCTAGCCAACTGACAATTCAATTTGATTTTTAACTAAACAGAACAAAAACATAGTGCCAGTATTAATTGGATATTCGCAAATCAACAAACACGTTTCATTTCTTAAATTAAATAATGTTAAATTGCTATAAAAGAACAGCAAGCCAATGAACATCATCAAAAGAAATCAATTTTCATATTTAGAAAGGGTATAGGTTTATGTTAATTTTAAATAGTAAAGTAAAGATATAGATTTTAGATAATAAAAAAGAAGTGAATCCAAAGTGAATCATCACTTCAGCTTATGTTATAATCTCTTAGAATTCAAGGGTCTGACTAATTAGTTTCTGCACAGAAACATCATACCACCTTGAAGCCCTTACTTTGATCTGGCATACCCATTGTTTTTGTACCCATTCATTGATTCAGTTGATTCAGCCCATCCGAAACGGAACCCAAGCCCACACAAAGAGATTCCCGAACTTATGGGAAATTAATTGCGCTGAGTTTTCGCAGTCCGCCCACCTTGTTAACTTGGCTAACTAGGTTGCCAGTAGCGCCATTCGCAGATGACAGATCACAGATCGCAGATCGCAAATGGGAACGTACAGAATTAATTGCTCCACTACGTGCTTGGTCATGGGAGTTGGTAGTTGGAAGTTGGATGTTGCCGCCTGAACATCCTGTTGAAAGCCAGACGTGTGGGTCAAACAAGTCGACAAATTAAAATAACTCTCTCGTTAGTTGTTTATCTTAAGCTTTTATCTTCTTCATAATTTAAACATGACTTTAAATTACACAAATCTTAGAAATAGAGACGTCTATAGCGGCGTACGACTTCCTGAAAGAGCCATGTGTGTATTAAATAGATGGCCAAGCACACCAAACAGCAGTCGTAGAAGACAAACAGCAGCAGGAATCCCAGATAAACGCAGAGGAATAATGTCAAAGTGCATAATAACAATTGGGCCAAGCACAGCCATTGATGTTTAAAAAAAGCTGTCAAAGAAATTTATTTAAACTAAATCTATATACCAAAAACATCTACTTACAGCTCACAAAATAGAGGACATAAAATACACATCCAATGACTCCATTGGGATAATTTAGTTTGGTTATTTTAGAAAGACCAAAGCCATTGCCATAGCTGAAAATTGTAGAGTGCATTTTTCAGAATTTGAATTTTGAGAAATAATTATAGCTAGCTTACACTGATTTAAATACCAGGGAGCAGCTTATATTATCATTCACATCGCATATGGGCCTGTAGTTCGCATCCTCCTCCAGTTTCTTTTTCACATACAGTGAATACACGGAGATGGCCAGGCCACAGGCGCAAATCCAGCGCAGCCGGGAGGTTGTACTGTCCATTGGGTTGCTGTTTGGATAATGAGCTCATTGTTGCAGGATTCCAGCTTACTATCAGATAGCCAAAGGAAAGATGCTAGGACCATGCCATCGATTTGACAATATTGTTGGCAGCTGCGCAATGCGAAATGCTCCATACTCTTTATAAGGGTGTATCAAAACTATAGACCCTTTAGAATATGTTTTCCATTTCAATGGCATAAGAAACTAAAAATTTTTGTTAATTGATACTACATTTTAACTTTTTATTTTAGTAAATAAATATACTTTATATAAAAATATTCTCATTTAGAACATTGCTATCAATCAGTATAACGCTCCTAAAACTAAAAACAACTCGATTTGATTTTAAAGATTTTCTATTGTAGATATATTTTTGGTTTATTTGAAGATTACGTTTTTTTTTTAAAATATTTAATATTAAGTTTGAAATAAATTTCAATGATGGTTTGGCAGGTTTGTGTGAATTTTCTTAACAAAATCTTATATGCATCCTATAACTTTTCCACGCAATCATTGTTAGGGTATATAAGGACCAACTTGCTTTCTTACCAAAGCCTCCTTGTTTTCTCAGTTGGGCTCGCATAAATTTCCGTTCTCATTTAATTTGATATGACACGAGGGCAAACGCAACAGGTAATATAAATAAAGTACGTAGCTCGGAGTTGCTGGCCAAAGTGAACTATTAAAGTGGGGTTACTGCCGGAGAAGGGAAGGCCCTTTTGGCCTGGGAACTATCACCTCTGGCTCATCGAACGTGCACATGCATCTGCGGCGAAAAAAAAAATAAAAAACATCACATTAGGCCACGCTCCATTGCATGCATATGAAATTAGCGACTGCGGCGACATCATCCAAATCCCAGCCGACCAAGCGACATCTCAACCCGGCCAAAATCAGACTACAAGCTCATGAAGCCGCATCTGCAACTCGCGGCATGACACAATGATGCCTCCAACTCCATCTCCATCTTTGGCCCCCACCCACCCACTTACCATGCTGTGCTCCATGTCCCTTTTTAATTTATAGCCTCACGAATTTGAATTCATGTGTGTTCGGGTGTTTAATAAAAAATATATGTATATGCTATAAATAAAAAGCTGGCCCATCCAAAGTGATATAGAAAAAAGCACGTTAGCCGTGAGGTAACCAAGTGGAAACAATTTACAAAATTGCAGTAGCTCTTCGACCCCAGGAGCGATGATGAAGTGAAGTGATGAATTTACGCAACCTTGGAGTCAGTACTCTGCTACAGAAAAAAGTAAAATCGAAATCAAAACAGTCACCGCAGCCAGCGACTTGGCACAGATACCCATTTGACTTAAAAAAACCCTTTCAAACGGCTGTCAACTCGATTCTCACTCAAAACCCAGCCTCACCTGGCCGATCGCTTAATGATTTGCCACTGAAAATGGGCCAGGGTCTAATTGAACTTTACACTTCAAATGAGATGCATCTTTGTTTTTTATACTTTATTTCTTGGTTATAAATACTGATTTGTATATCGGTCTAAATGTGCCAAAAAGAGAGAAGCCCTAGTTGGTTTCATTGGCCTAAACTGCAGAAAAATCTCCCCACAGTGGTTTTGCTCCTCCTTATTCTCTTTATCAACTATTTTAAGAACATTAAGAGATACAGGGTTTAAACTTATTTTACGACACGATTAAATTATTAAAATACATATTTTTAATAAGAAAATAAACTTCGGTTATTCACTGAGATTTGATAATTTGAAGTACCCATAAATTAAAATGGAACATGGCAAGCAAGTAGTCCACAATGAGCGTTGAAAAGTTAACAAGGACATCGGACCTAAACATGTACCTTTGGATAGTATCTGAGTTTTTAATTAAGAGTTTAACGAAGGATAACCTTACATATTAACTTCGTTATAAAAGAGAGTCATACATTCCCGTATATAAATTTTTGGAAAAATTGGGCCAAAAAGTAGAACATAAATGATGAAAATAGAAATTAGTGCTAGTTTTGTTGCTCTGCAGCTGCGACTCCCAGCTCCGTTTATTAGATGATCTTCACAAGATCGGATGCGTTTAGAAGGGCTTAGGCTTAGGCTAATGTTAATGCTAATACCATGTCTTTCTGGCTTTGCCGATGCTGCAGCTGCTTCTCTTCAAGCACGCGTGTGCTGTTTGTCTCCAACGAGTTTTGAGGTTTGAGTTTTGAGTTTTACTGTGGATCCGTGATCGAAATGAAGTGAAGTGCTCAAACAAAAGCGCCTCCAGCCACAAGTGCAGCTGACTGCGAAATGATGGAGCTTGACGATTATGATTACGACTGTGAAGGTGAACGCTTGCAACTTGGAACTTGGAACTTGGCTTTTGTTGTCGCCCCGGTGCACGTGCAACTGGAAGGAAGTTAAGGTTACCTACTGCGTGGTGTTCGATTCTCGCCGAGATGTGGCAATCGCAAACGTATTTGTATGCGTCATTTGGCTTAATAAATTCCCAATTAATTAGAATCAAAACGCCGCAGTTGTCAGCGAAATATGATGCTAATGATTGCGTTTATATGAATATTTTAAGAGTGCATTTGGCAAGATCACCGTTGCAGGCTAAGTGTAGATCGATAAAGATTTAAAAGACATAAAGCTGCAATTCCACTTAATAATTTAAGAAGCCTTGAAAAAATAATTTTAGTCCAAATTAAACTACTTTTTTTGGGTTGCTAACAAGTAACTTATAACTTTTAATAGATTGACAAATAATAAAGGTCAAAATTATGTACAGAATTTGATTTGCACAAAAATATCGGTGAACGTTTCTTAAAGAAAATGAATCCACAATATACACAACTTAGCAATTAACAAAATATCAAAGCCGTAACACTTATACATTATATAAAAACTAAATTTATTACTTTTTCAAATCATAAAATAATATTTTTGATTACCATATATATAGAAATGAACAGAAATGAACTTATTTATTTACCTTTTTTAATCATATAAAATATATACATTTTTATTGCTTATTATGAACAGCATTCAAATAATAAATTAACATCCTTTGCCCTATTTGTTCACCTAAAAACACTTGCGATGGACGATGGTTGGACCCACTTCGTCGTACTCCATGCTGTCGATCCACATATTTTGGAAACTGGTGAGTGAGGCCAGTACGGAGCCACCTGACCAAACGGAGAATCTGCGCTCCGGGCTGGCGTTGATCTTAATTCTGATGGATGGGGGCGCCATTTTGGTGAGATCCTGCAGGAATCGATGCTCAATGTTGCGAAACATGGTCGTGCCACCGGAGAGCACTATGTTCGCGAACATATCCTTTCGCAGGTCCAAGTCGCACTTGAGGATCGAGTGATAGGTGGACTCGTGGATGCCCATCACCTCCTGGCCCAGCAAACTGGGCTGGAAGAGAGCCTCCGGACAGCGGAATCGCTCGTTACCCAAACCGATCTTTTGGCCATCGGGCAGCTCAAACTCTGGTAATAAGGATAAATATCTGGCTATAAAACTCAAAATACTAAATTTGATATATAAATCATAATCATAAAATCATAATATTAAATACAAAGCCTATTAAATTGCATGATTTAAACTAAATTTATGAATTAAATGGGAAAATAATAAGATTTCAAAAGAGTTAAAATTATTTGAAGTAGAGGTTTAAAGTCAATTAAATTTATCTGATATTAAAATCAATTCCAAAAATAGTAAAATAAAAATGTAATATTTTTATATTTAGGATAATATATTTTTACTATTGTAGATATTCTTCCGTTTATAATAAAATATATAAGTTATTGTGGAAAACACATGTTTTAAGATCATTTTAAATGCATTATGCTTAAGTTTAATGTAGTTTAAATTCAAATTAAATTTTTAGATATGTAAATCGATTTCGAAAATGGTCAAAAACATATTAAACAACATGTAATATTTCCATATTAAAAATAACTAAGAACTGTTACAGATAAAAAGCCTAAAAATATTTAATTTGATTCAAAATACTTGATTTACTATTTTTTTACCAGTGTAGCTATCCTCCCGTTCTTGTTGGCTTTGGTCATCCTCCGGTGTTCTTGGCTGCTCCATGTCCTGGGCATAATTCATGGACACGTAGCACAGCTTCTCTTTGATTTCCCGGACGATTTCCCGCTCTCCAGAAGTGCTCATTTTGACACCCCTTTCCAGGAGCAGTGTGCACAGATAGTCTGTGAGATCCCGGCCAGCCAAGTCCACGCGAACACACGCATGGGGCAGGGCGTAACCCTCGTAGATGGGCACCGTGTGGGTCACTCCATCGCCAGAGTCCACCACCACACCCACAGTCCGTCCAGTGGCGTAGAGGGAGAGTACGGCCTGAATGGCCACGTAAAGTGATGGCACCTGAAAGTTTTCAAACATAATCTCCGTCATCTTCTCACGGTTTTTCTTCGGATTCAGGGGGGCCTCTGTGAGGAGCACCGGATGGTCTAGTGGATCCGCCCTTAGCATCTCATAGGTGTGCTTCCAAATCTTCTCCATGTCCTCCCAGTTCTTGACCACCCCGTGCTCAATGGGATATCTTAGGGTGAGCATTCCTCTCTTACGAGCTGCCGCCTCGCCAATGAGGCTATCATCGACCAGTGAGTCCACCAGGACGTTCTGGTGACGAGGTCTACCCACAATCGAGGGGAAAACCACCCGGGGAGTATCCTCCGTGGAGAAACCGGCCTTGCACATCCCCGAACCGTTGTCCATAACCACGGCGGGCTGTTGGGCGAAACTCCCATCCTCACTGCTCATTTCTTCAGAGGCTGGAGGAGGAAACTTATCTTCGACTTCTCTGAGACTTTTTTTTTTGTAGAAGACTTACGAGCTTGTAGATAGTTTAACAGAATTTCCTGTGCCCGCTTATCGGTTATATCGATTTTAATTCGTGAAGGTATCTGAAATGTCGACATGCTGTGTGTTATGTTGTTGTGTTTCAGGTGGCCTGTCGAACAAGGTACTTTTAAAAGACGTAAAATTCTTTGTTAAATTCAAATTTGCAGCCTCCTAAATGCAGTGCTGCAAAACAGTGGTGGAAAGCATCGATAACCTTGGGTGGCATTCAAACGGGATATATCGATATTTGCAAAGCTCAAAAAGGGTAGAAGATTTTTGGGAAATTCATTTCGAACCGTTATCTTAAATTTTTTAAGCTCAGAAATATTTTTAAATTTTTTCTATGTGCCAAAATATTTTTAATAATTGTGACTTCAAGAAGAATAGGGTTGATAATATAGAGTAAAACCAGAAATGACCTAACTGTTAATTCTGACGGAATTTAATATATTGAAGTTTTAAGTTAAATTATATATATATTAAAATAAAAAAAATTATTTCATAATAGTTTTTAAAAACAGTACAATTGAAACAGATAGCTATACTCACATCACTGACTTATAGCGATCAATCGATATTTTTAGCTGGCCCCCCACCACTAGAAAAATAAAAAAGTTCAAAAAGGAGAAGCAAAAAGCGAGAACGTAAGCCTTGTTTTATTTGGTTTTTTTGAACACACAGATAAGAAGTATTTAGTATACGCAGATTGATAATTAGCAGAAATGTTTGTGGCCCGTAGAATTTCGCAATCAGCTAGGTAAGTGTGGCAAGAATTGAGCGAAAATCGATGCCGGTATGGATTACATAAATAGCAACAATTGCTAATTATAATGGCGACCCTGATCTTGACAATCTGAAATTCTTATAGCCTGGCGGTGCGTGGCAAGCACACTCTGCCCAAGCTGCCCTACGACTATGCCGCTTTGGAGCCCATCATCTGCCGTGAGATCATGGAGCTGCACCACCAGAAGCATCACCAGACCTACGTCAACAATCTGAACGCCGCCGAGGAGCAGCTGGAGGAGGCCAAGTCGAAGAGCGACACCACCAAGCTGATCCAGTTGGCTCCAGCCCTGCGATTCAATGGCGGTGGCCACATCAACCACACCATCTTCTGGCAGAATCTCTCGCCGCAGAAGAGCCAGCCCAGCGAGGATCTGAAGAAGGCCATCGAGGGGCAGTGGAAGAGCTTCGAGGAGTTCAAGAAGGAGCTGAGCACGCTGACCGTGGCCGTACAGGGATCCGGCTGGGGCTGGCTGGGCTACAACAAGAAATCGGGCAAACTGCAGCTGGCCGCCTTGCCCAACCAGGATCCCCTGGAGGCCTCCACCGGGCTCATACCCCTCTTCGGCATCGACGTCTGGGAGCACGCCTACTATCTGCAGTACAAGAACGTGCGACCCTCTTACGTGGAGGCCATCTGGGACATCGCCAACTGGGACGACATCTCGTGCCGCTTCCAGGAGGCCAAGAAGCTCAGCTGCTGAATAATCAAGTACCAAACGAATATGTATGTCTAATCCATAAGCATCGGCGGTTCGCAGATCCCAAATTGTAGTCTGAGTTGCGGCTAATAAATTAGTACCAAAACCTCTGATGATTTCAATTATGTTGAGGAAATTTATTATGCCCCTTATTCGTAAACACCATAAAGTATGTACATATATACATAAATTCTTTTTTTTAATGGCCCAAAGATATTGTATAACTGCAATAGGAGCGATCGAATAATTGATTGAAATATTTATTTTGTTATAGTCGTTTTACAAAATACTTAAGTGACGAATGCCGCTTGCGTGCGTGCATGGAGGCGCTTTGCAACACTGACACTTGTCTGCGGGAGTGCCATCACTAGCAGATCAGCTGTGCGCAAACAAAAACAAAACAAAAGCCAGCCTGCCGCGGATTGGGGGCGGAAAGGAAAATTAACATTTTCCCGAGTTTTCCCGAGCTTGCGTGCTTTGCGCAGCTGCAAACAATTTTCCAGCACGCGTAGCCGAATGGTGGGACAAATGGCAAGTGCCAGCCGCTGGCAGAGTCGTTTGTTGCCCGTTCGCGTAATGGCCATCCTCGAAAAACGCCCGAACTTTTGAAACAAAAAAAAAAAAAACGAGACAAAGGAAAGCAATTGAAATTTCCTGTTCGGTGACGAATTCACTTAAGTGCAATATTAATTAAACAAATAACTGTGATTGTGTGTTCGAGTGTGTGCGAAAAACCTTTTAAAAGCGACGACGAGGGAGTAGTTGTTTTTCAAAGTGAGTATTTAACACTATTAATGAGCTAATTGGATTATATGTATATCACCAGTAAATATATGTTTGTTCAAAGTTTGATTTGGTTTTTCACTAATGAAAAACTCCACTTGACTGTATTCGGGAAATTGTGTGAAAAATCAATATTCCACAGCCAGTTGCCCTAGAAATGCGCACGCATCTCCCTTCGGGAACTATTCCGTCTTTCGTCCTGTTGCGGATCCTTCAGCAGGTCCTTCAGCAGCTGTCCGCCTTCTTATCAAGCTATAAATAAAACCTCTAGACTCTGTTGTTTGCGAATTTCCCCGAGCATATGGTGCAACCTGTCATCCGGACACTTCCCGACTATTCAGAACAGACCCATTTACGTTATCGCCTCGCCAATTGACGTCAGGAGTGGAAACCGAGTTGCCAGGGGAGCTCCGCTTGTCGTCTACCGATTCAAATCATTGTTTGCGGACGGACAACCTCTGACCTTTGAGCCCTCACCTCGAGGCATCCCCATTCAAGCGACAAAGTTTTGTGGGAGGATGTATAAGATGTCCCATACGTCTGTGATGCGTGGGCGATAGATTTTCCTTTGAATGAGTATTAGAGTTATAGTATTATCATTGAATAATATTCCATCTAAAAAAATCCCTAGATGACCTTTGACCCATTGCCTCGATGCAAGCCCAATCAAGCGACAATATTCCGTGGGAGGATATACAATCCGTCTGTGATGCGTGGGTGATGTAGTGTCCTTTAAATTTGCACTTTTTTGCGCATTACTTTGTTGCATGCTTAGCGAAAATAAAAACTAAACAGTGTTTAAGTCATAGTTTGTGAATAATATGAGATATATACAATAAATCATTTCTAAAATCCGTAGGTGAGTAAATCTTATTGAGTAAATCTAAAAATGGCAGTTCGAATATCCTCATCTCAAACCGCAATCCGCCACCAAATGTCTGGAAACTTTGTGATTGCTTATAACATATCAGTAAAATGTTGATGTTTTAGTAGATTCATGCTTAAACAGATTTTGTATAAATTGTAAATGGGTGATAAAAGACTCAATACTCCAATTTATAAAAACCGTTGCTTAAACCTTCAAAATACAAAAAATATAATAGTAAACTTTTATTTAAATTGTTTTAGAATCTAGCTTACTCATTATTATTTAGCAACGGATTACTATTGACCAACTGATTCTAGAAATTAGAGAAAATTTTTAAAAATGAATGTCACGCAATATTCTGAAACAAATGTACTTACCATATTAGGATTAAAATTAACTTTTGTTGCTGTGTAAAAGCATGCGTCATGACAACAGACACTGTGGTGCGATTATAGTGACCAGCTTGATTGAGAGATTAAGTGTGCATTGGATTGGAGAGGGATTACGCAGATTGTTTGCTTGTGATTGTTTGCTATTCTAATAATAGAGTAAATCTCCGGCAGGGCTCCAGTCCTTGCCCCTCGGGAAGTATAGATACACCAGCTTTAGATCCAACGCTGGTGCTGGTGCCTTTTGAGCAAAGCCAACAATAACCGCAGTGTACGAACCGTCCCATAAGTGTCATGAATAAATAAAAGAAAATACTTAAACCGGAAAAAACAAGACCGTAGGACAAGAGTGGCCAGTGGGGGGGCGAAGCAATAAACATAAATTTCCGCTGAACAGCATTAAAAAGGAAAATGTTTAGAGTGGGGGAAAACTCACCTGGTCGCGAAATGGCTTCCTGCTCTGACAACTTTCCCTTGTTTATTATTAATTATATTTGCCAGGGTAAAGGAGCAAAAGCTTGTGGTTTGTCTGAAATGATTTATGTTACCTGTGGACTGCACTTTTAAGTGTTCCCCATTGCAGTTGCCCCAATATTTGGGGCGTGGTTGCCGCCCATTGCGGTCTACTTCATCACGTGCGGTCAGCTCCTCAGAAAAGTAGGCAACAAAAACTGACCGAAAAGGAAATCACTTGCTAATCAACGTGTCCTGGCAGCCGCGTGTGTACAAATTATATATCGTACACATATAGAGCGACAACTAGGCACCGAAAGTTACAACATTCCACACCAACATTGGGACTGTGCTGCGTGGCAAAAAAAATAGTACACAGTGGGAATTACTTTAAAAGTTGTTTGGGAATTTAGTTATTTATTTAGTTTTATAATTTTTCACGTTCGATTCCCAGCGACCTTTCATTGTAAAAAAAAATTTATCCTACAAAAATTGTTTTTTATTATAAATTTATATTCTTTTTTTTGCATATAATCAGATGTCTAGTCATAGGAAAATACTCCTTTTTGGAATTTTCCTCTCTGCAGCAGATACACTGAGTAAACAAACCTTGAAATTATGAGAGCCGAAAAAATATTTGGGAAGTGGGTGGAAAAGCAGGCCTGGCGTGGAAGTCAGGAATGTTTGCCTCTTGAAAGATGATTCACCATTTGGCTCGCTCTTCCTTCCTTCCTTACTTCCTTCCTTATGTCCTGTGGTTCTTGGCATTGCCTCTTCGCTGGGACGCGACTGTGGCCAGGTTCCACACTCAAACATGAACATTTTCCTTGGATGAGTCATCCGCCATTTCTCTTTGCGGGTGTGTTGGTGTGGTTTTACTGCGTTTGTGCTTTTTTGCGTGGGGCAGGCTTTCTCCACCCCTTTCACATACATTTTCCTCTATATTTTCATATTTTTTTTAGCCCCACGCCTTCGCTGCAACGACTAAAATAACCAAATCGCATTAATTGTTTATGTTCTGGTCTACATGGAGGGGCCAAGCACTCATACATTTTAGACTTAATTGTCCTGGGGGCTTTTAAAAATCGAGGGGAATAAAGAGGGGTGTTATATACACTTGTCTGCCATTCTAAGAGCGCTTGTTTTTCTCTTTCCGCCAGCTATGAATGACATTTAAGCTGTAGACTTGAAAATTGAATTTAAATTTAATTTCATGACCAGCCTGAAGCGAATACTTTTTAAGATGACTCATTCGCAGTGTTGTCTGCTAGAGTGTTACATTTTAATTGCTTGAGCCTCGCCAAAGAGTCAGCGAACTTGCTTTTAAGCATGAAGCAGCGGAAAATTGAAACTCTTTGACTCATGAACTGTCATTGACATTCACTGGCGGAAAATCCTTAAAGCTGCCAGTGCAAAAAAGGAATTGCGCAGCCAACAATGAACGTCAACGACCGCTTTTCCCACTCTCCCCCATTTTATTCAGCCACACACGCTCGGTATTATTTGGTTTCGTTTTAGTCTGTGTGTGCTTTTCGTTCCCCCGATTTTCACCCACTCGCATGAAAATTCTGCGCAGTAATGTCCATTTGTGCAGTATGTCCCAGCAAGGTGCGCTTTAACTTTCCCGTGCTTTTATTTTATTTTTACAAATTTACGTTTTAAACTTATGATTTCGATCATGATATATATAAGCTCTGCGCTAATCACCTAAATATCGCCAAAAGCTGCTGAAAGTTGTTTGTTTGGGGTAAACGAATGAATGACCTTCCGTTGAACTAACACCGAGAATAATATATAAATGATGTAAAGACCCATCGAATATAATCCCACAGAGCGACGGGCAAAAAATCCCAATGTTGTGGACCACAGCAGGATGCTAAAAAGGCCCATACTGAGAAAAACGAAAGCTAAATGGCCATACTCCTCCATCTGATCCCGATGCATATTTTCGCAACCTACGAGGTTCCTAACGTAATTCACAGTGTTCGCGGTTACGATAATAGCTGTGGGATATTCCATTAATATACGCCAATCAAACAAATACGGTTTACCAACTGAATAAAGGTCCTCCAATGGAGGATGCATATGCCATCCTGGGATAGCCGTGCGCAGCTAATGCGGTGTTGATAAAAAGCGTGCCCAGGTTCCCTGTAAAAGCCTTAACCGTGGCTCCCATGAAATCGTCATCTATTGCTATTAAACTACTAATTACTTCAAATAACGTATCGATTTCCGTGGCGCAGATAAAGATTATGAACATGGAGCCAGTCAGATTCATTACCGTAAAAGCCTGCAAATGTAAAGGGTGTTTATTAGCCTTAAAATGCATGTTATGCCTGGATTGTGGCTCACCCAGTGATAAGATGGTGGAACATCTGTCCGAGATTGAATCAAAACGAACACGGCGATCGGCACAGTGATCACAAGAGAGTAAGCCCCATAAATCAATTGGTCTTTTATGACAATGTACCATAAAGTGTGTTCCTTGCTGTGTATAAATGCTGAATAAAAAAAAAATAAAATTGAATAGTTAGAGGTTTGAAACCACTACAAAATATATATTAAAACTACGAAAAAAAAAAAAATTAAATTACAAAAAAAAAAAACCAGCTCACCCATTAAGACCGATATAGAGAGGGCAGGATTTATTATCATATTGATGCTGTTTAGTAGCTTGTTCCAGCCATGTTTTTCCATTTGATAGTCCACCAGTGGAATGTAGAGAGCGCAGATGACCACGATTGGAGCTCTGAGCAGCAATAACACGCGACTAAGAAGCTCGGCTTTCCGCCAATCTTCGCACTTGATGGGCCTCAGTCCGAGGAAAAATTCTTTGAATATTCCTCTGTTCTTTGGCAGAGTTCTGTCGTGCTTCGCTAATCTGGTTAAATTTCGGTTGACACTCACTCGATATGTTCGAACCATTCGCATAGTTGTGAACCGCATACTGGTGCTCGCCACATTACTGTTTTTCTCATAAACCTCTACTTTCCTTGTGTCTTGTGAATAATATTCATACTTCCTTTCGAGATATCGCAGTTTTGAGAAGTTTTCCGGAGATTGTCCTGCTTTCAATACTTCATCGATTTGTTTACCGATCGCTTTAGATAACAATTAAAATGTCATATTAAAAGTCCTGGGTAAAAAAACTTACAGTCCAAACCCCTGCGCAATAAGTAAAGATCTGCCACGTTCACTAATATGTAAATGACGTAGACCAAGGCCACAACTAATTTTATAAAAATATTTGCGGGATTAGTAGACAATTACAATTTGATAAAGATAACTTGCGTCGTGTCCTGGTTGTAATTTTTCTGCACACCAAAATCTTTTAAGAAGGTTTACATTCGTAAAAATATTCAAAACATTCTTTTTGAATTGTTTCTAAAGTTAAATTATTTATAATCCTAAGAATCTATCTGGACTATTTTTCTGTAATCCCTTTTGTTGTAATCAACAACCAGAACAGCCAGTAGTATGTATAAATGCTTACTGGAAAATTTAACTTCGCTCGAAATGGTTTTGACGGTCATGAAATAATCCATTAAAAATATCCCCAAAACCAAGAATAAAATGTCGCGGATTGTCTCGTAGGCATTCATCTGGAAAGGGCTAATGTAGCATACCAATCCCCCGCAAACCATGGTCACAAACAGGGCCGAGGACAAACTGTTGGCGAACACGGGCACATTTTCCTTAACGCTTGCCAAGTTTGAGAATAGGTCGGCGGAACTGTTTCCAAATGCCAGTAGAGTAACGCCCGCCAAGTGCTCGTTCATATGGAGGAACCGCGATACGGTCTTCAGAGCAGGACTATAGCTGATATTTCAAAGTCATAATTAAAGTATATATTGAATATTAATATAACATAATTGGAGATCAAATCGGATATAGAATCGGAGTAGAAAATATAAAATATTCTGCTCCAAACATAATATACAGAGATCGTTAAGGGTTTAAAAGTCTAGAAAAAAATTATCTATCATACATAATAGCTTATAAAACACATACTATAATGAAATACAATAAACAGAGTTCGTATATAAAAACAGCAAATCTTTCCTACATTTGAGGATCTCGCTGGATATATCTAAAAGCTTCTATACCAATTATTGAAAAACGTATATACTTTGCGACTTTCGATACCAAACATATCAAAGTTATGTCATATAAGAACATGCGGTCATGTATTTTTAACTTACTAAACATTGATCGTGTAGATCAGAAAAACCAGTATCTCGAAACAAAGCATCATGAACATTGTGATGAATACCGTTTCTTGGAAATTATTGACACACTTTAGATTGCAAGCAAGTAGTCTCATGTAGGGCACAACATTTGTACTCAAATTGCAGTTCACGGATTTCTTAACGAAGTCGCAACGCTCCTCGAAGGGAAATTGGTTGGCCGCATAACAGCTAACCCTTTGCCAAAAGTTGTCGAACTCCGCGTCCAATTCATTGGGCTCAAATTTTGATTTGGTTGTCATTGTAGAGTAAGTTGTTAGCTAGCCGAAATCTAAGCTTTTAGTTTGAGATGAGTGACATTATTAATAGGTTTACTTTGTTTCTTCTATGGCAGCAATTCGTCTGAAATAGTTAAAATAGATAAATATAGGAACATAGTTAAATTGTGGTGCCCATCATAACTCGTTTCTGTATCATTTGAATTCCAAAAATCAAAATCATATTATTAGACAATGGCTTTGCCCAGGCAATACGTTTTTCGAAATTTAAATTTTTCTTTTGTTTTTTTATAAAAAATCTTTTTGCAGTAGAAGTTATGATGACACTGACTTTGAAAACGTAGTTTAGGGGAAAATTCTTTCAAGTTTTGAACATAAGAACATATCTTCGACAATTTCGCTACGATTGACTTCAAATTTAGACACAACATTCTTATATTACGCGTTTATTTAAAATCCTATGGAATTTCAATTTGTTTTTAACTCCAAGAACCAATCATTAACCTTAAAGCGGCAACTCTATTGAAAAAGTGTATGAAAAGGTATGGTTAAAATATACAACATGGTACACAATTGAAGACTACCCCCAAACCCTGTTTCCCTTCAACATGTCTCAGCCATCAACCACATCCTTCCCCCTATTCCTCCAACTTTTCATTTCCCTGTCAGCGTCGGCGTCAGTTTTCAATGTCAATGTAATTACGCCGGAGAAGTATACAAATGAAACTACCGAGTAACATAAAAAGCCAAAGCTTGTCGTCTCGTGGCGATGGGAAATCGATAGATTGAAAGAATCCGTTTTACGTCATCTGCTGGTGGATATACATGGCTATGGTAGCTATAGCCACTGTGCCGGCAGCGATAGTGAAATAGCTCATAATAAGATCAAACATTGGGAAATGAGGGGTTGCCACACAGTGGCTGTCTACGAAAGTGAGCACCTTGCGCTTGTAATGAAATTCTTTATGCCAAATGAAAGACAGGCGGGCGTTTTGGCTTTGCTCGAACCCCTCAAGCTCTTTAGATGAAATTTATGAAATTTTTCGAATACCCATATACACCTCGCAGCCCACACACACAATATACACTCCACAAAACCCCTGCCCTTCCAGTTTCTCCCCCGGATTTCGGCGCATGCGTTCTCGTGGAGGGCTGTACTGGACGTATCCTCTGAACTTTCCCAGAGCTCACTGTGTCGTCTACCCTTAACGGGTGCAGTTCGTTCTGGTCTTGAATCGTGCGCGAATTTATTTTCTAAGGCCCTCCGCTGGCTGGCCATCGATTTTGTGCAGAAAAGCCCAGAGTTTTTCCCCAACGAATAGTTGCCCAAAAAAAAAATCACACAAAGCGCAGCCAAGTAAATCAACTAACAAGTCCCAAATAAAACAATTTGTTTTAAGTGGCAAGCTATAAATTATTAATAAAATACTTTCCCCGCAAAAAAGGAGTGCAGAAATTTTCGCTGTTATACAGAAAGCCAGACCCCTACATATACACATATATGGAAACCTATATATATATAATCAAGAATCTTTTAACTAAGTCCAAAAGAAGCTACGCGAATGTGCGCTTTTGGTTACCTCTTGTTTTTCGCCCTATTGTTAACAACAATTCTGGTGCTGTCCATCATTTTTGCCACCACCTCCAAGCGATCCATGCTGGATAGTTTCATACTAGTATTCAATTACACACAAGAAGAACAGCCAGACCAAGAAATGCAGCAGCAACAACAAACGGACTACTATCAGCAACAACCACAAATGTTTTTAAAACAGAAAATATTTTGAGTTCTTTAAGTTGTATGAGAAAAGCCCGATAAAAATAAATAAAACGAAACGAAACGGAAAATCAATTGGTAAATGCTTCAAAAAATATTTGCAAAATTTCATCAATTCGCTCGACCAAAACATTTCAAAATTCTCGTGAAACATAGCCCATAATTTCGTTTTACATAATTTCGATTCGCCTTTTTTTTCCATCATCTAGTATACAGTGGCCTCCAGAAAAGTGTGCTTAGTGTGTAGAGTGTAGAGATTTCCTGGCTCGGTGTCCATGGCAAAGGCAACTTGAAAATTTATTAATAAAGGTCAAGAAGAACCCACTGAAGGATATGCCCGCGAACGTGTGTGTGTGTGTGTGTGTGTGTGTGTGCTTGTGGTTAGAGGTCCTGCATATGGCATTAAGTGCCCGCCGTGTTGCCCCGCAGGAAGCCATAAAAAGACCTCAATATGACGCAGAGGGCAATAAAAGCGAAGTAAAGCGAAGGACCTCGAATGTTTCGTTCGTTGCTCAATAGCAAATGAGGGTCCACAAAATGACGAATAAATTTTCAAGAGCCTAGCCATATAAGCTGAGTGGAGGATATCAAATTAAAGGACTGCCAGACAAAGGATATATACCGCTTTAAATTACTTAATTTTTCCGTTTATCAATTTTTGCGCCTTCAACTTGCGTCAGTCTGCATATCATAAAAAATAAAATAAATACATAACACAAATATTTTGCATATTCTATCTCACTTTCGCCCCACTCTCTCTCTCTCTCCATTTCTCTCAGCTTTCTCTCCACATTTCTCCTGTCTAGCGCTTCTGCGCAAATTTTCCCGTGTAGACTTTTTACTGCAGGCTGTTGCACATTTGCTTTGACAGTTTCGTCAAAGGAAATTGAAAGAACAAAAAAAACATAAACAAAAGTATTTTTGTCAGGTAAACAAAGAGAGAGAAAGGATGAGAAAGAGAGAATTTCTCACAGCTGCGCATTGGTTTCCAAATCGTTGGAATAGTTTCTAAACTTGGTTTCACAATATTTCAGGACTTTAGTGTACGCGAGTAAAAGAATTTCCTTCTTGGTCAAGTGAAAGAACTACAAGAAAATAAATAGATTAAATATAAAGTGGCAGCTAAAAAAATACAATTGGATCAAAGCGAAATTCATAAAAAATAGTAATAAAGTGCGTTTAAAAAAGTGTTACAAAAACAACTCGCCTTTTTGGGCTATAATGAACTTAAAGGATTCTGTTACCCTATAAGCTAGCAATTGTTTGACCGTAATTAAAGGTAAATACATTTTGTTAAACACATTTCAGTATTCAAACATTGTAGTATTACTATAATAAATTCGATTTTAAGTCATCCCCTTTTATACTGGGGTGTGAGTGTTTTTCTTTATTCTGCCTTTTGTATTTGCTCGATGACTCATTCGAGTATTGGCCGACACTCGTCTGCGTTTTATTGGAAGCATTGTGGATTGTGGAATTTTTTCCCTTAACTTCAAGTGTGAGAGTGGATGGGTGTCTGTGAAATTCAAGAGGGTGGCGGGTTATACAAAACTATTTCCATAAAAGTAAAGTTTGGAAAAGGCAGAAAACTAATGCAAACCTGTGTGAATAAACTTCAATTTAGTAATTTAAAGATTTAAAAGGTGAATAATAAATACAAACAAATAAATAAAATAAAATAAACACTCTTGAATTTAAAATTGTTTAAATGAGCTTATTCCTTGATCAAAAATTAAAGAAAACTGCTTACTATACACAATTAAATAGCATTCCTTATAGAACATGAGCCACTACAGTCGTATAACTTAAAGACTGAACCCACATGAAAAAAACCAACTCTAAGCCCCACCCCTGGCTTCAATTCAAATTTCCCTGGAGACTTGCCGGGGGGCATGACTCATAGTTTCGAACTACCACAAGAACAAATCGACGAGTACATAACCATAAAGTTGGGGCAATTATAAAATGTCAGTTTCTAGCAGTGGGAGTCTCGAGCCAATTTGCAGCCCACTCGCATAGCAAAATGTCTATAAAAAGTGTTCCCTTTCCTCAATTTCCACTCCAGTTAACCGGAAACCAGGACACCCACTGAGCAGCAGGCCAAGATGTCGTCGGTTAAGGTGGCGGTGCGAGTGCGCCCCTTCAACTCGCGCGAAATCAGCAGGGAGTCGAAATGCATCATCGAGATGGCAGGAGCCACAACGGGTAAGAGTCCTATCTATAGATCTATAGATTATCAGGGGTGCTCAGAACTTAATAATATTTTTTTTTCAGCCATCACCAATCCAAAGGTGCCGCCCAACACAAGCGATTCAGTAAAGCGCTTCAACTTTGATTACTCCTACTGGTCACATGATGTAAGTTCAGCTCAAAGTTACATAAGAAGAAATAAGTTTAACATTATGTATTTTTAAAGCACCACGATGCGGATTTCTCCACACAATCGATGGTCTACAAGGACATTGGGGAGGAGATGCTGCAGCACTCCTTCGATGGCTACAATGTCTGCATCTTTGCCTATGGCCAGACTGGAGCTGGCAAATCGTATACCATGATGGGCAGGCAGGAGGAGCATCAGGAGGGCATAATACCCATGATATGCAAGGATCTCTTCACTCGCATTCAGGACACGGAGACCGATGATCTCAAGTATTCGGTGGGTTGTAAACAATAGTCTAAAGTTTGCTGAGACTCTAATTTAATAACACTTATAGGTTGAGGTATCCTACATGGAAATCTATTGCGAGCGAGTTAGGGATCTGCTGAACCCCAAGAACAAGGGCAATCTTCGTGTGAGGGAGCATCCGTTGCTGGGTCCTTATGTGGAGGATCTGTCTAAATTGGCCGTTACCGATTACCAGGACATTCACGATCTCATTGATGAAGGCAACAAGGCTCGGTGGGTTACATTACAACAAGTATTACCAGTATTTTCTTTAATTAATCAATTGTTTAAACAATATTTAGAACTGTGGCTGCCACCAACATGAACGAAACGAGTTCCCGTTCACATGCGGTATTCACCATCTTCTTCACCCAACGTCGTTATGATACCATGACCGATTTGACCACGGAGAAGGTCTCCAAGATAAGCTTGGTGGACTTGGCTGGCTCGGAGCGAGCGGATTCCACCGGAGCCAAGGGAACACGCTTGAAGGAGGGAGCCAACATCAACAAGTCGCTGACCACTTTGGGCAAAGTTATCTCAGCTCTAGCGGAGGTGGTAAGTTTTTACCCTACTTTCTTTCGGTATTAAGCAATATGTCACTAAACTAATCCTTTTTTCCTGCTGCCCTTTTACGTAACAGTCTGTAAGTTTTCCTATATATTTTCCTATATTTCCCTTTTCTGTTACTAACGGATTTATTTATTTTTAAAGGCTTCCAAGAAAAAGAACACCAAGAAGGCTGACTTTATACCCTATCGTGATTCGGCCTTGACTTGGTTGCTCCGCGAAAACTTGGGCGGTAATTCCAAGACAGCTATGATTGCAGCTATCTCACCAGCAGATATTAACTACGACGAAACCCTCAGCACTTTGCGGTAAGTCTTTGTTTCGTTAAACAAAAAAAAAATTAATTTATATATTATTGAAATAGCTATGCGGATCGTGCCAAGCAAATTGTGTGCAAGGCTGTGGTCAACGAAGATGCCAATGCCAAGCTCATTCGCGAACTTAAGGAAGAGATTCAGAAGTTGAGGGATCTACTCAAGGCCGAGGGCATTGAGGTGCAAGAAGGTAAGTCATGGCGTAGTCTAAACCATCTAGATTCAGTTAAAATACCTACCCAACTAAGCTAGAGTACATTAAACCCAGCCACACATCCAAAAATAACTCGCTACACTTGAATAACAAAACACGAAAAAACCCTGCCTAAGTTAGTCTTAGTTCTAGTCTAGTTATGCTAGAAAACCAGACCAAATCCAAAACCAAAACCAAAACCTATTTCGTTTAGGACCCGATGGCAAAGTGGTGTGTGAGAAGCGCGATGCGAATAGTAAGTAAAGCCAACAGCAATCCAGCGCTAAACAAAACTCAAAGGCTTCACATGCAACAATTGTTATTTAATAAATATGCATAAATATGTACAGTGCGTTTCAGAGCTTAAGGCCACTTGATATATATCAAGTGCTTTTTTTCACGGTTAATGTTTCCATGGTAAATAGGAAAAGCTTTTCTGTGTCTTTCTTGAAGTTCTTGTATATAGTTTTGAAACGCACTGATATTGTAGTTTAACCACTGCCAATAATCTTACATAGCTCTCGGTGTGTGCGTCTGTATTGTGCTGTATCGTCAAAGCTTCTATACAAATCGCTTCAGGACGAATATAAACCAATTATTTATCCCATACGATAATCACAATCGAGTCCTCTTTATGTTGCTTTAAAATACGCCAAAGAGACTTAAATAAAAGTGTTTAATGGTTTATTTGAGTTGCCAAAGTCCAAAAAGAAAGACAGGCACCAACTCTTCGCAGTCCGCACTGTTTTTTGAAGGCTAAAAAGTGGACATGCCAGAGTAATGCAATAGTCCCCCAACAACCATAAACCATTGGCATTTGCTTCGTTCCGTATAAAATGAACATTAATATCCTATATATCTTTATGTATTTCATACCCTTATAACCTTAGCACGCTTATCACTGCGCTTGTGACCTCTACAAATCAAGGTTTATTTTTCTAATACCTATTGTGGTTTTACAGAGGATGAGCTCACCAAGTCCACGGTGATCAAGTCGCCTTCCAAGTCACGTAATCGCAATGGATCCACCACGGAGATGGCAGTGGATCAGCTGCAGGCCAGCGAGAAACTCATTGCAGGTGAGTGCGTAACCTTAAACACTTTAGGTCAGGGGTGCTCACTGCACATTTGTAAAAAAAAAAATTTTATTTTTGGTAGTTAGATATATTTATGTACTTATTAGAACGGGGTCATGTGTCGTTACAAGCTTAAAACTTATAAATTAGTGTTCTAGTCACAAAAGTCATGTTGTTTAACAAAGAAAAAAAAACTCAATGTAATTCTTGTTGTTCACTAAGATAAAACGAAACCTTGAGCAACGCAACTTTATGTTTTTACTAGACCTAATCCAAACATTCTTTAATCATGATTAAATTCCCTCAGAACTCAACGAAACCTGGGAGGAAAAACTAAAGCGCACAGAGGAGATTCGAGTTCAGCGAGAGGCGGTCTTTGCCGAAATGGGCGTGGCCGTCAAGGAGGATGGCATCACAGTGGGCGTATTCTCGCCCAAGAAGACCCCACATCTGGTCAATCTAAACGAGGATCCTAATCTTTCCGAGTGCTTGCTATATTACATCAAGGAGGGTCTAACCCGACTGGGAACCCATGAGGCCAATGTTCCGCAGGATATTCAGCTCTCCGGATCACACATCCTGAAGGAGCATTGCACCTTCGAGAATCGAAACAGCACAGTGACCCTGCTGCCGCACAAGGATGCCATAATCTATGTGAATGGACGCAAGTTGGTTGAGCCGGAGGTGCTGAAGACTGGATCTCGAGTGATTCTGGGCAAGAATCATGTGTTCCGCTTCACCAATCCGGAGCAGGCACGCGAGTTGCGTGAGAAGATCGAGACCGAGAACGAGGCGGAGAACGAGGTGGAGAAGTCGGACACCCAGCAGGTGGACTGGAACTTTGCCCAGTGCGAGTTGCTCGAGAAGCAGGGCATCGATCTGAAGGCCGAGATGAAGAAGCGGCTGGACAACCTGGAGGAGCAGTACAAGCGGGAGAAGCTCCAGGCCGATCAGCAGTTCGAGGAGCAGCGCAAGACCTACGAGGCTCGGATCGATGCCTTGCAGAAGCAGGTGGAGGAGCAATCGATGACCATGTCGATGTACAGCAGCTACTCGCCGGAGGATTTCCACCAGGAGGAGGATGTCTACAGTGAGTGGAGGTCCAGCTAATCGCGAATATAAAGTTTTAAACATTTCACCATCCTTAGCCAATCCCATGTACGAGTCCTGCTGGACAGCTCGCGAGGCGGGCTTGGCTGCCTGGGCATTCCGCAAGTGGCGTTACCACCAGTTCACCTCCTTGCGAGACGATCTCTGGGGCAATGCCATATTCCTCAAGGAAGCGAATGCCATTTCCGTTGAGCTAAAGAAAAAGGTAGAGCTGTCCACTTAATAAATATTATTTCTACAGATGCGGTCAAAATAATAGTAGTTTTTAGGATTATGGATAAGGCAAATGCAAATATTTAGAAGCTTAAAAATACTATAGAGTAAACCTAAAAATATAAAAATCCGCACTTTACTATTTTAAAATATTTTATGGTAAAAAAGTAGCAGTTTTTTTGGTCCATGAAAGACGCGAACCAAAATATTTTAGAAGCCACTTTTGAAGCAACTTTTTTATATTTTCAAGAAGGTAATACTAAAAAGTTTCCTATTCAAAGTCTACATGAACATGAATGTTTAGTGATTAAAAAAATGGTTTTAATTTACTATCGTTTATAAAGTTTTAGGAATTTCTGACACCTTTCAATTTTATTGAAAGACTAAACTTAAACATTATACGATAAATTAGTAGAAAAATTGCCTTGCGTATAAAAAGTAATGTTTTGAGCTCTACATTGTATCACTACTAATGTTTTGAAAGCAATTGTATATACATATATATTAAATTAAATATTTTAAACTTATATTTTAGGTGCAATTCCAATTTACTCTTTTGACCGACACCCTGTACTCCCCCCTGCCGCCTGAGTTGGCCTCCAGTGTGGCTCCTTTGCATCAGGAGGACGAGTTTGGGGCACCACCAGTCTCCAAAACTTTGGTGGCCGTCGAGGTGACCGACACCAAGAACGGAGCCACTCATCACTGGTCGCTGGAGAAACTCCGGTAAGTTCTTCTATATCCAATAAAGCATTCGAATTCCTGCTCCTCCCTCACGTTCATTCTTCTGTGCACTTTGGTTTGGAGATCTTAAATTTAAAGCTGGCTTTTGATTTGAGTTTGATTATTCTGTTCTTAATACGTGCATGGTGGTTGTAGTTCATGGATTCTAGTTTTGTATCAAACGCTCTAGAATTTGTTGGTTAATTTTGTAACTTTGGCTGTTAACGAAGCGAAGATCACGCCGCCACCATTTACGCCTCAAGTCTCTCATCGCCATAATTCGCCAAAGCTCAGACTCAAGCTTGCTAGGTTATTTTCGGAAACAAATGTTGATTTTTGACTTTTTCGGTTCTTTTACTACGTATCCCGAAACCCAAAACCCGAACCCACAAATTCCATCCCAAAATCATTTTCGTACACAAACAAGCTATCGCCTCGAACTGATGCGACAGATATACAATGTCGAGAGCCCACCATCGTCCATGCTATTCGATACGTCCGGCATGGAGGCGCTGAGCGGATGGATTGCACCACCACCCAGCCACCAAGATCCGCATCCAGATCCACATCCAGATCCAGTGGAGTCACCAGTCGAAAGCGAACGGGGCCGCCTCACATTGGCCAATCTGATACCTTCTAGGTTTGCTTTGACCGCAGGTTTTCATTTGTATATAGACGTATAGAATCTCTCCTTAGTTGTAGTTGCATGGCTTTCCATCTGGACCGACGCTCTTCCCGCACCTCTATACCTATGCAAATTTATATTATTATTTATCCAGCATAAAAAGAGATTACCAATTTCATGTTTCTAATTCTTGGAATCTGTTTTTTTAGGCAACGTTTGGAGTTGATGCGTGAGATGTACCACAACGAGGCCGAGATGAGTCCCACTTCGCCGGACTACAATGTGGAGAGCCTGACGGGCGGGGATCCCTTCTACGATCGCTTCCCCTGGTTCCGGATGGTGGGTCGCTCCTTCATCTACCTGAGCAACCTGCTCTATCCCGTGCCGCTGGTGCACAAAGTGGCCATTGTCAACGAGCGCGGCGATGTGCGTGGCTATCTAAGGATTGCTGTACAGCCCGTTCTGGATGAGGAGTCCATTGACTTTAACAATGGTGTCAAGCAGTCGGCTCGTTTGGTCTTCAACGAGGATGATGCCAAGCCCAAGTATCGGGCTCTCAATGAAAAGGACGATGTGCAGCGTTATATCGACAATGGTGGTCTAGACAGCAAGTTGGAGGGTGAGTTTAAATACGTTTTGGATTTTCTTGTTGAATATTCACTCATATCCCGCTGAGCAGAACTTGAGGATGTGGATTCTGGCCGTGGCATTGACTCCAATTCCGCTTCCGAGTGCCATGAGAATGCCGAGGAGCCTGGCGAGCATCTGCAGGTGGGCAAGGAGTTCACCTTCCGGGTCACCGTACTCCAGGCCACTGGCATTGGCGCCGAATACGCTGATATCTTCTGCCAGTTCAAGTAAGTAATCTTTTAAAAAATTCCCTTTGACTGTGTGGTTTATAAAAGATTACCTTTACAGCTTCTTGCATCGACATGAGGAGGCCTTTTCTACCGAACCGGTCAAGAACTCAGCTTCAGGCGCTCCTCTGGGCTTCTACCATGTGCAGAACGTAAGTGAAATAATCAAATTTAAGACTTAGAAATCTTGTAAGAAAAATAATTAATTCTTTTTTTTCATAACAATCTCAAATGTATATTCCATTGTACTTTCTATAGATTACTGTACCCGTGACCAAATCCTTTATCGAGTATTTGAAGACCCAGCCGATTATGTTCAAGATCTTCGGTCACTATCAGACGCACCCATTGCACAAGGATGCCAAGCAGGAATTCGTTTCCCGGCCACCACCACGTCGCATGCTGCCACCGAGCATACCCATCAGCCAGCCGGTGCGCAGTCCCAAGTTTGGACCTCTGCCCTGTGCGCCCACGTCCACCGTTTTGGCCAAGCACGATGTGCTGGTTTGGTTCGAGATCTGTGAATTGGCTCCCAATGGAGAGTATGTGCCATCGGTAAGTGTATTGTGCTGTAAAAATTCAGATTTTCCAGTAAGTAATGCCAATTTCGCTATTCCCAATAGGTGGTCGAGCACAGCGATGATCTTCCTTGCCGCGGGCTCTTCCTCTTGCATCAGGGCATCCAGCGGCGCATTCGCATCACCATCGTTCATGAGCCCACGGCGGAGGTGAAGTGGAAGGACATCAACGAGCTGGTGGTGGGACGTATTCGCAACACCCCGGAGTCATCCGATGAGCAGGACGAAGACGCCTGCGTGCTGTCGCTGGGTCTGTTCCCCGGCGAAGTGCTGGAGGTGCCCGGAGATGATCGGTCCTTCTACCGCTTTGAGGCCGCCTGGGACTCGAGTCTGCACAACTCGGCACTGCTCAACCGCGTCTCCCAGGGCGGTGAGACCATCTACATCACCCTCAGCGCTTATTTGGAGGTGGGTTTGCCTAAAATCAAGAAGGGCTCTGGTCGAGTTCCCCGACTATTAGGTACTCAGTTAATCCAGAAAAATATCAGACCTTATGTGGCGCCACCTGCAGAGAAAAGACACCTACTAAGAGATCTTTTGCTCGCTTCCGCGTTCTTATTCTCTCTCGAAAATATGAACGCCGTGACGTCATAATATATCTTAAAAAGAAAAATTTGATGTGTCGATAGATATTGACTGGTTAAACATATACCGCCTAATAACGGTTATCGACTATATCTTAGAGCGGAGTTCAATTTTGAAATAAACTTGCGCTGCGTAGGCATAACTAGAACCTGCAAATCCTACACCTCTTGTTTGTGTAGTTTCCAAGATCTCTACGTTGTAAACATCATATTTTTCGACTCTTGCAGCTGGAGAACTGCGCTCGCCCGGCCATCATCACCAAGGATCTAAGCATGGTGATCTATGGACGTGACGCTCGCACCGGACCGCGCTCCCTGAAGCACCTGTTCTCCGGTCAGTACCGCAATCCGGAGGCCAATCGTTTGACCGGCGTTTACGAGCTGGCACTGCGCAGAGCATCCGAAGCAGGTAGTCCAGGTAGCAATTCTCATTGTAGTTGTATACTCGTACTCAGTCCGCTTGCACTTGCTTGTCGAAAATCGTGGAGCTGACCCCCACTAATCCCCATTGCCATTACTTTTTTTGTTTTTTTTTTTTTTGGTACAGGTGTTCAGAGGCGTCAGCGTAGAGTGCTGGACACCAGCTCCACTTATGTGCGCGGTGAGGAGAACTTGCATGGCTGGCGGCCAAGGGGCGACTCCCTGATCTTCGACCACCAGTGGGAGCTGGAGAAACTCACGCGACTGGAGGAGGTGGGTCGCATGCGGCATCTGCTGCTGCTGCGCGAACGTCTGGGCATGGACACCAACCCGAATCCGACCACCAAAACCGAGAAGGATGTGTGCAATCTGGCTGCCCGGGCAGCCACCTCACCCGTGCACATGGTCATTCCACAGTCGCCGCAGACGCCGGTCAAGGATCCGCAGCAAATCATTCCAGAGCGGGAGTACAACCAGCGGGAGCAGGACCTCATGCTCAAGTGCTTGAAGCTAGTGCAGGGTGGGTTGAAGTTTGAATATTTTGGGCCAACTAGTGGCTAATTTCTAACTTCATTTTTAAGGACGCTATACCAAGAGCGAGACCAACGACACACAGACCCAATCGGATGTCTCGCCCAGCGATGAGGGATGTGCCGACATGACCGTCAGCTGCATCTCCAGCAATTCCATGGAGTGAGTAGTCGCCTAGCCAATTCTCATTTTGCACGACATCAGAGCACATCTACACCGCATCTTAGTTAGCTTGCATCCATCCGGCTTTCTTGGTTTATTAAGACAAACAAAATTGGCACGACACCTCAGCACACCCATTACACCACACACAGCTCACAAAAACACCCTGTAGATCCCATTCTTGCTCTGCACCATTCCTTTGGGGCATTCGGAGCGCAGGTTGCAGGCCCGCCGGGCAATATTGTAGACAAATCCGTGCTTGCAGCGGCAGGGCGGTCCGCAGAGCGGTACACAGTACTTGGAGCGGTACTCGCAGGTCTCCGGACAAACGCCCGCACATCCCACATTGGTGGAATTGTGACAGCAGCCGAAGTAGAAGGGCTGCTTGATCAGCTTCTCCTCGGGAAGTGGCTTCCTTTTTAGTGCTATTATTTCGCCCACCGGATGAATGATGTGGTGTCCCACCTCCAGGCTATCAAACTCCAAAATATCCCTCTTATGTGGTTTTTCAAAGAACTCGTCTTCATCTCGCAAGGCATCCAAGTGATCCATCGTTCGAGCTGTGCGAAATGTGGGCGGATTTGTTACGGTCACTGGAAGTTCATCCGGCCAGGTAATCTCAATATCTAGGGTGGCCTCTGTAACGTCTTCGGGCCAGGTCACCTCCTCTTCGGTGGTTTCCGCTGCCCCTTCCAAACTTCTTTCTAAGATTAGTAAGGAAACAAATAGCTTAAGGCATAACATTGTTGACAATCTTATTGAGACTGCAATTTAAATTGTTATGCCTTAACACAAAAGGGTTTCTTTTGAGATCGCTGTGAAATTTCGATTTGCTTGGGTCAGTCAACTCATTTATAAAGATATTCCAGTTGCTTTCACTCTTCTGAAATGATCAGAACTACTAGTTCTTACTTATTCAACAATAAGTAATTTAAAAAAAACTTAAAGTAAAGGAAATATGAATTAAAACACTCAATGAGTTTACACAACATCCTGTTTTAAATCATTTAAATCCTTTTGGAAGTTTAATTCAATAAAGCTCATTGTGGAGAAAATGTTTCAGAACTGTTGTTAATATCAAAACTTCAAGTTTTATTCAAATATTAGTAATTTTACAAAATTAAGAATGAATTTATTATGGCCCCTATTGAAAAACTCGATGAATTTGCACAACTTGCTGTTTTATATCCTGGGCGCAGTCAGATTTTAAGATACACAGCTGCAGTTTTTCATCAAAGACATAGTCCGGTTTGCATATGCAATTCACACCGCAGAAACGATGGCACTTGAGCGATTTGAAGGCACAGGTTTCGGGACAGACTCCAGCGCACCTCATCATGGTGGCATTCTCGCCGCAGAAGGCCGGAAACGGATTCCAAATGTACTTGACACGATCCGGATCCGGGTCCACCTCATGGTTGATAATGTAATTTCCAAAGCCAGTTGACATCACTGTTCTTATTAAAAACGCTGGCAACAGCAGCAAACAGAGAAGCTTAAACCAAATCATTCTTAAAGCCAAATGCAACTGAGGCTCTTAAAAATAATACCCATTTGTTTTAAACCTTTTTATGGCTACTGCTGCCAGCTGTTTCCCAGTAATTGCCGTTCATTCGATCATTGCAGTGCAATAACTAACAAAAAACCCAACCACTCATTTTTCCAATAACTCGAGATACTCAAAAACAAAACTTCCAATATTTTATTTGTTTTCCTTTTGGTTTTCTTTTACACAATTAGAAACAACAAATTTGTAAATCGACGCAGGTAATTTTATGTTCTATCCAGAGAACCTAAACCTAAACCAACTCTGAAATGAGGCCTTGGCTAATTGCTTTTATTTTTCTTGCACCAGATTATGTTCGCCGGATCGTGCTGATGCACCCAATGGATGGGAGGCACCTGCTCCGGCCACTCAGCCGGCTCTGCCCCTGCGCCTCTATGTGCCGGAGCTGGAGGAGATTCGCGTGAGTCCAGTGGTGGCCCGCAAGGGCCTATTGAATGTCCTGGAGCATGGCGGTTCCGGCTGGAAGAAGCGCTGGGTGGTAAGTTTCCACTTGCCGTTGTTTTCTATATAGATAGCTCTATTATTAAAATATTTCAAAAATAGATTGTACGTCGTCCCTATGTGTTTATCTACCGATCGGAGAAGGACCCCGTTGAACGGGCTGTCCTCAATCTGGCCACTGCTCAGGTGGAGTGTAGCGAGGACCAGGCGGCCATGGTCAAGATACCCAACACATTCAGGTGGGTTCAATACCGTTGTCAAGTGGAAACATTTATTTATGCCAGAAGAGAAGGCTTTTTGAAGTGGAAAAACTATGTTTTAAGGTGTTAGTAACTTTAAAATTAAATTATTTTTAAAATAAAACAATACGTCCTAAATTTTTCAAGCCGAACTAAATTGAAGTATACTTATGTGAGCATTGAATGAAAAATATCCGTTGCGTAGGGGACTATCTAACTTTAAAAGTGTACTTTTAGATAATAAATTTGATAGTTTAAGAATGTTAAGTAGTTTTTCTTGAGAAAAATCCGCAAAAAATACTATAAAGCCTTAAAAACACAAAAGCAATTTAATATGTTTTAAATCCTAAACAACTTTAATTTCCCAATAGTGTTGTGACCAAGCATCGTGGCTATCTACTGCAGACCCTTGGCGACAAGGAGGTGCACGACTGGCTGTACGCCATCAATCCATTGCTGGCTGGGCAGATCAAGTAAGTGAAGACTGTGAATGGACTGCCTCAAATACGAATTCTATTCATTTCCCTCAATAGATCCCGCCTGGCGCGACGAACTTTGGAGCCGGCCAGCCAGACAGCTTCGCAGATTCAGGCCACCAGTGCGGCGAGTGCCAACAGTGCGAGCAAATGAGATACGATCACGATGGAGTCCGTTTTGGTTTACTGAGACGCAGGCTATGGCTGGCTGCAGCGCCTGAACATCGCGCGACGACTGGTCAGGCGGAGATCACGGCCAACAGGGCAGGGGCAGCAGCTGGCAACTGAGTGACATGGCCTGGAGGATTCCATCGGAAGAAGTGGGAAATCGAAGATTTTTGCTAGGGCAAGGCTGAGGAAGCAAATCGAAATCGAATGAGAAGACCACTGATTATGTGGCAGAGAGAAACCAAATGCAAAGCGTACGTAATTATTAAGTAGTTCAACAACCAGTTTATGGATTAAATTATGTATTTCGTGATTAGTTGGCCACGGCCCAAAAGAGTAGGCACTAGAGAGCAGCTCCAGTCAGATACGATAGCCTACTTTTGTAGAACCCCTTTTCGGTTAAGTTTTTGGACAATTTTGTAAATAGCTTTCGTTTGATTCGATTGTATAAATATTTGGTATTAGTTAATGGATCGTTTAGTTTGAGTTCCCACGTGATATTATGTTGATCAGTTAGAGTATGAATTATTTTCTCAAGTATGCGACAATTATGTAAAGCTTGTAATGCAAACAAACAAACAAACACACACGTATATGCATTTTAAAGGAGCAAACTAAAGCAAAATACAGACATATATATAAAGGAGGAACTATATATAAACAAATTATGTATAAAACCCCATATATTTGCTGTTTATACACAAATTTTCATGTACTTGTATCTTGTATTGTTTAACTTAAAAGTAAAAGAAGAGCAGGCAACCGCCAGAGATAAATATGATACCAAAAATATGTGTGTGTTAAAGAAAGACCGTACAGTATATAGGATATAGGAGTCGTGAGGTGTAAGCTCAGCAAAATTGCGAAATCTCTACGAAGGTAACGATTATTGTTAGATCTATATATGCGAATGAAACTATTTTACACACCAGAAAATCGGCGCTGCTATAAAACAGCTGCCCCACATTGTCAACTGTTGACGGCTTTTAAGGCTTCTCCCCCACAGACACCCCCCAAAAAAAGGACAGTTTCGCTTCTATAATGCTCCCACTCGGAACCACCTGCTAAAGCTTCAAGCAACAAGTTACGAAACAACCAATTGTAGTTTTAATAAGAGTCTTAACTTAGTACGCAAAGGCCACCTGTACATTTCCCAAAACGAAAACTAAACCGAAATTTTGCTTTGCTTGCCAAAAGATATTTAAAATTTAACTTACGTTTTGCCTTCGGTTGACGCACGAGCTTAGGTCAGGTTAAAGGATCAATTGGAGCTTCCCTTGTGCCCGGATCACAAGTTCCGAAGCTCCCAAAAGTTGTTGAGGGGATCACTTTCGTCGGTGTCCGCAAATGGACACTGATCGTTAAGAGATCGTTGCTGGATAAAGATAATTCGCATTCTGAGTCGGCGTTTTGGGTTTGAGTTTATTGTAGCAAAATGTAAACATTTGTTAAACTATTGAATTAATTTCGAATTGTAACATATTAGAGAATTGTAATTAACAATAATCATTATACGAGCATACGATTATATGATTATATGGTACCTATGTAATAACCTATTTTGGCCCAGTTTGAATTTACCAACAAAGAATTGCACACCAACAAAAATATAGAGCTATGTATTAGCCATGCGAGTTAACGAGCAAACAACTCAACTTATATATGCGTATATGGTACAATACATTTCAAAATCTATCTAAATATGTACATCGGCTATATATCAATGTATGTACGAGATGATTGCCTGGCAAGCGTTTCAAATTACAGATTAAAGACCAGAGAGCAGAACCAATGCGGATCAAGTTAATGGAAATGAAATGGAATGAAAACCTATGCTATGTGTGTGTATAATCCAAAACAAATTGATATATGCCAGGGCGTATCACTATTAAAGAAATATAAAATAAAACGGCTTTAAATAAAATCTGTAAATTATCAAATGGCTTTTACTTTTCTGAATGCACAATGGTTTCTGTTTTAACAGCTCTTAAATATTTTAAGTGATACGATATTGAGAGCTAGGTGCTATATTTATTCTTAAAAATTTAAAATTTTGGACTTCCGGATTTATTGATAAACAGACATTTCGGAGGTTGTTAATCTGTTGAACTGCTTAAGCTGTACATACAAATATGTACCCAACTGTAAGTAATGGTTTTTAAAATACTAATTAAGTCAGTTACACTTTCTTCATATTACAAACAAACGTGGCTAAGCCATTTAATTCCATTTAGTGGAAAACTATATAAATGGCGATTTATTTAAAGATTTCTTTTTTATATTTGCCGTAGTTCCTAACCATGAGGTCCAGTCAACTCATATTCATCACCTTCAGCTTGATTGTAAGAAATATTGTTCCAAAAGATATTTGCATCTTAGTAATTTTTTCGAATTTTATAAGCTGCTGGCATCCCTGGTGCCATTTAGTGTGGCACAAAAATTCGATCTCGAAAAGCTTAAAAGTTGCGCTGATGTGGCAATCAAAGCTGGCAAATCCTTGGCCTCAAAGGCTATACCAAGTCTCAAAAAACTCGCAATCTGTGCTAAATTTACTCCTTTAAAGACAAAGGATCTCGATATTGTTGAGCTGGCGCTGATGGGCTATCAATTCATGCAAAAGAGTATTGCCAACCAGAAATGTCTCTTGAGCTGCTTAAAGGAATCGTACGACATGGTAACGCCATATTTGAACAAGATTATGCAAATGAAGTGTTTGCCATTTTAAAAGCTCAAAAGGTAAAGGCTAACCGTTAAGACTCCATTTGTGAATGTAAAAACCAATTTTTTCATCGATAAATATAAGAGACATGTGACAGCACTTTTGAGTGGTAATTTTTTTAAAACCTAAGATATGTCTGCTGTCTAGGCTTAAAATATGTTTTATGGGTTAATATTTAGATACGTTGATGACGGATCATATGGGTTAAATCCTCACGCCTCATTAACGGCATTGGTGTGCCCAAAAAGAGTATACCCAAAGGAGGTTTTATGGTAAAAAGCGTAAAAAAATAGTATAGAATATAATAAAAACAAACGACAAAATAAATTAATTCCTAAAAAATACACTCCTGAAAACAGAAAAAAATGTTATTACTTTATCTTGAGGATGGAACTTTCACGAATCTAACAAGTTATTTACTTCAACAATCCATCTGCACCGGAAACTCAAGGTTTGATCTTTTCAGCACTTCATCGATTTAAATTTAAGCCAGTGAATTGAGCCCAAAACAAAAATTAATATTTGCAGCACATTAATACAACTTAACTATTGAATTTATAATGTTATATGTTAATTTTATATTAACTATAAAATCTAAATTAAATATTCCGAAAATAGTCAAATACATAATTCTTAAAATGTTGAATATTTTCATATTTAAAATATGTAATAACCGCAATGAATGAAATTTAAAGCGAAAAAATAATTGTATTTACTACTCTTTTTTTTTAACGATATACAAACAACACATCAAAAAAACAATACCAAATTTTTAAAATAAAAGTTTTTATTTAACAAAATACATATTAGCTTGTGATCCGCTTTTTAATATATAAGATCCGATTAATTTTTGAACCTAGCGACACAACCAGTATGGCAGTAAAGATAACTAAAAGAATATAGTACTGTAAAATTATAATCATTTGTTTAGAATTTCAGAAACTTACGCAAACGTAGAAAAATATGCATTTTTACTTATTTTAGAAACGCAGCACATGTTCGCTGCTTTTTATAGAAAAATTTGCAAATATTCGTGACTGTTTAGTTTTTTGATAAGGCCAAGGAACGTGAAAGCAATTGTATGGGGAAAATCTTACCTGAAAACGTGACTAAGTTTAAGTGACTGGCCAAAATAAAAGCTCAACTTGCCAGCAGCACCTGCTAAGTAATTACCTCAATTCCATGGTCGAAATCCTTTCCATTGTGGCTGTGGAATTTCATGACAACAAAGGCTGGCCACGCTCAGTGATGCAAATCCCCGGGCAGAATGGCGTTGCATAAGCTCCGACAAGCTGCAAAATGCTTCTGGAGAGGATGGATTTTGGACTAGACAAATAAGCTTTGGAGGTATGGATGCCTTCTGTAATTAGGCAAGATGTCGCTGCTTTTTGCCATTTGCTATTTGGCCACTGTTCCCCCGACAATACCATTTTATGGGCTGTTGTTGGCGGGTTTCTCTTCGCTTTTTTTTCTGCTGCTGTTGTAGAAAATGAATAATTCAATAGTCCAGCAGCAGGTCTCCCGACATTGCAACCTCGGACCATCTCGTTGGCAGTAGCCATAATTGAGGTCAGTGAAATCAAATCGCCCGGACCAAGTGGTTAGCTGGTTAGCACTTGCCCAGCGGAGTGTGGAGGAACTGGAAATGGACTTGGAGCTGCTTGGCTGCTCCCTTGGCTCTCATGGCGGCTCCACTTTCAATGGCCAAAAGCGGCCATGGGATCTTCCTCGTGGTCGGTCGGTCGCTTTTGTTTCCGTCAGCCAAAATCACAGCCACTAAAAATAGACAACAATTAAATGCAAATCAATTGCATTGATTTCCCCCTTAGTACACAGTGGGTAACACTTATAGGTACAAGAGATTCTGAAGGGACAAAACAAATAAATAATTCAATAAGAACGACAATCAAGTTGAAAGTAAATGTGTATTGAATTATAGATTCATTTTGCGAGTCAGCAACAGGAAAACAAATAGACTAAAGTGGTTAAAAATCTTTATTAAAAAAATTTAAAATTGTCCTGTAAAATCAATAACTTAATTATTGAAGATCTAACTATTAGGCAATTGTTTAAGCTGACTTATTCCAGCATAAACTAAGCCTTAGTTAAAACTTGCAACAAAGTATCTTATTTTAGTTTAAACTGTTTTCTTTTTTTAATATAAAACAAAAGGGTTAATTGTTTGGCGGAAAAATATCCAGCCTTAACTGAAGGTTAAAATGGTTAGTTGAGCCCTTACTTTTTTGATGAAATCACACAAGTTCCATGGGGGTTTGCCCAAACTTAAATGATGTTTTAAGTAGTTCCCCCTGTACTTGGCACACCCACTAGTCAAACCCCTTGACATTGTCCCTGTCCGCATGCGATTTATCTGCCAATTTATCGGCTATAAAAGCTAGCGAGCAGCTCGGCCAACGCCAGACGATAAAGTACCTCCGGTCTGCTTCTACCGGCTTGGGATTCAGTTTCATCTAGCCATCTATCCATCTTTCCGAAGGGCCATACACACTCACTGTTGAGTTAACCAGAACCAAAATGTTCGACTCAAAGATTAGGGTGCCCAAGTACGACTCGGAGGCGTTCGACAATGTCGAGTACGAGCTGCAGATGACGTACACTTTGGAGACGGATCGCCGGATCATGAGCTTCTACGATGCGATGTGGGGCATGGAGGTGTCCGGCGGCATTGACCAGTTCGAGCCGCTGACTATACTAAATGTTTCCCCCACCGGATTGGCCAAAAGGGGAGGAATGCGGGTGGGCGACGAGATCACTCAGATCAACGATGTGCCTGCCTTGGAGATGACCTTCAATGAAGCCCTGCAAATGTTCCGCAAGAACTCGCATTACGTTCGCGTTTATGTGAGGGGGTAAGCTTTGGTTTTAATAGGTTTTTACTCTTAGAGTCTTAACTTTTTCCAATCCTTAGCGATGACGATGCGCCTGGCGAGGAGGACTGGACCTGCGATTGCTGGTTCAAGCCCAGGAAGCCCTGGCGTCGCGATTTCACACCCATTCAGTGGACCTTCCCCTGGAACGATCGTCGCAAGCCCGTGTACAAGGAGTCCAACTGCTTCATGGTGCCCAGCAAAATGGAGGAGAAGATTCGGGCCAGGCGTGCCGCCACCTCGGCTGTTCACAAAAAGGAGGAACTGGCTCCACACACCCGCTCCCTGACGCCCACGCCCAGGCCCAAGAATCAGCCGGGTCCCAATCTTCTGGAGACTGTGCTCCGACCACGAGGACCTCCGCCAAGGGATTAGGAAAGCGATCCGTTGCAGATAAAACTGGCAAAGTCACAAGCAGATGCAGGCAGCGTCTTATCCGCTGCAGTACATCCGGATTGAGGACCTTTAGGGATTATGCAAAAGTAGGCAGACTGCTGTATAGTAGAAGTGCCTTACAAAAACCTGTGAAACGGTTTTGAAGATTGTTCTCACAAGGACAGTGTCTTAATCCTGCCCAGAAACAAACAATTTACTCAATTTATGGAGAAAAGAATGCATTGCTTAGAGAGTATCTAAAACATAGATGGCAGGCATCTGTGCAAACAGTTGAAGTGCCAACTTAAACTATGAGCTGAGATTTTGAAGAGATCAAAATGCAACCGTACAAAAAGTATACAACAACTGATAAGAATTTCCTGATTATTCTACAAGGAATACTGTCGAAATGTTAACTGTTTACTAGATGTTAAAAAAGTATCAAATAAATATATATAACCACTGATTTGGGACTTTAATTTGTTAACATGTATGTTATAAATTGTATATAGCTGGGTGAGCAAAAAATCAATACGTTACTTTAATGTTAAATTTAAGTATAAGAATTGATTGGTTTTGCGGAATTGTAAAAATATGGCCTTACTGTTTACCTATGAAATTGCTGTGAAGATCAATTTCTCACTCTTGTCTTCTTTGTCACAGCGCTATAAAATGACTAAATGATACAATACGTTTTCTTATGGTCTGGAAATAAGACCAAAAGCCAATCAGTTAGTTCCACTCGGTGCATTACCCAATTTACTAATGTGGTAATGTGTCGCCCATCCATCCATTTACTTTCTACAGCAGTGCCGGCATGAAGTTTAGCATTTTAGTGGCTGCTCTCTTCTGTCAGATTCTGCTGGAAGCCAATGGTTTTGACCATGATCACGCCTACAGGACCTGCGAAGGTAAAGTCTACTACGATTGCTACGACTACTGCCGCAGGGGCTGCTCCGAAACCATGGGCAGGTGTGTGCATCTCTGCCTAAAGGGATGCGGATGTGTTGCGGGCTCAATCATACGCAACAACGGAGGCTGCAAGAGGGTGGTAAAGTGCACCAATGATGATCAAGACTCGGCTTCGCTGGACTATTCGGGGCAATACGTGACAGATTGGTGGGGAGATATACAGCCTATGCTTGGAACTGCATTAGAAAAAGCAGTTCCGTATATATTGGAAGGTACTTCGAATGAAGACCGGGCTAAGGATACTCCTCCCGGGGAATCGATCGAGTGGAGTAGAGATGTGGAGCCTTTTTTGCGACCTGCTCTCAAACAGCACCCGGGCTTGGAAGAAGCACTGGAAGAAGGACGCTAGAGAAGCACTTGATGAAGAAAATAATCTGATGAAAGCAATATAATAAAAATCTATCGAATTTTTAAAATATATTTGTTGTCCAAATAACAAAAGCAGCGGCAGTCATCAGAAAAAATCTAAATTTTAATAATCTCTAGAACAATTAAAATATGGAACTTATTTTAATTTTCAGTTCCTTTCAGAATAAAAGGAAAAAATTATAAACTAAAAACAATAATTCCAATTAAAAATTACTTCTTAAATGCAAATTCAGAAAATTTTAATGTTTAATATTACAATGCCCGAAATTCATAATTTATTCACAATGAATTGCAGACGGCTTAATAATTTTAACACTAAAAAGTAAACAATATATTGTATGTATATTAGAGCTTCAATGAGTGTATGTAAATATATGGAAAACTAGTGAATTTTTGGCAGTGCTGAAAAGACTCAAGCTGTTTAATGAATAATTACCAAACAGCTAACTTTTATTGAGACCCCACAGACATTTTTATCATTATTCGATTTGATGCCTTAGGGTAAGTTACAATTGCTTTCTAATTTATTTATTAAATTGACTTCCGCAGAAATGATCAAACTGTTGTTATCGATTTGTTGTGAAAATTACTTAATATATTTATTTATGAATCAATTAATCTTAGTCAATAGAGATATATTTATGCTGTACTTAATAACTTAAGTGAACGCATTCAGCTGCTCAGGAAACCAAATTTTCTGTACGAACCTCTCCTTTTCCTTCAAGCCACAAAATGCTAATTGCTGCTTTAAGCAAAGTACACATTCATGGCTTCGTAAATACAAAGCCATGAATCAGAAATATTACGTTTGCCAAATGAGAAGGCGGTAGAAATGCAAATCGTGCGAATCTCATCTCATTTGGCTCCAGTTTACGTAGAGATGTAGAGCAACTTTCTGCAGAAGGCTTTATTAAGCATATAATTCAATTTTCATTATTCAAAGGAGGCAAAGGGGGGTACATGTTGTGCATGTTCTTGTTGGTTTTCCGGAATACTTCAAAATGTTGGCCTCCAACAACTACACAGCACAAACAAAAGCACAAAACACATTATGTACACTTGCAAAATTCTGATATGACTAAAATTGAAAAAAAAAAGATTTACAAAATTAGGGAACCATTACGTTACGTTACGATCATAATGTTGTTACAATTAAATGTATTCCACTTAGTCTATGTCAATAGACAACTCAAAAATATGGAGTTCGAGTTTTATTTTCAATCAAAAATATAAAAGAAATTAAATAAAAATTGAGAAATCAATAATTATACCGGATAAAACCTTTACTGGAATAGTAATGATATTTCTAGGTGCTTTCCGTGACCCTGATTTTGTGTTAAAAAAATAAAAAATAAATATGACTGTCCAAAATACAAAAACATTTTTCATATACTAGAATCTAATTGTGTGAATATTGGGGGGAAATGGGGTAAATTTCTTTCAGTGATTTTTAGGCTGAAACAAGGAGTGCTTCTGCTGCAATTAATTGAATGAAAGCAGTGGATTTCATCTTGATGAAGTCCTTAACCCTAACGAGCCATTCCGATGCCAGTTTTGTTGGCGGGATAAAGCAAAATGGCAGCGAGGGTTAAGCCCACCACAATGGCCTGCCAAAGCAAACGGAATCGGAACCGTAATTAATATTAATTTAAAACGAATATCAAACATAAAGAGGTTAGTGGGTGCAGGAATGGAAATAAAAATGAAAATTCCGCGAGTGAATTTTTAATTGGCGAACGAATTCAACTTTGTGCCCCTAATGATGACGATGATGAATGGAAATTTTCGTTTTGACTTTCCGTTCGAGTAGAGTTTTGATTAATGCCTTAATCGAAGCGAAATTGATGAAAATTGAAGCACTTTTTTAACCTCTTTTATTTTTTTTTAAGAACTCTTATTCCGCAGTGCATTGAAAACTTTAATTTGCGAAGTAATGCCAACGATTTTCACTGGTCGTTAAAGTTTTCACTTTTCTGCAGCTGATTCAGCGATAAAGTTGCCGTGACAAAAAAACTAATTTTCATCCTAATCACAATAATAATAATGGGGTTTGGCCTGGCACTTTAAAAAGCGAACCCCAAAAGCAATCTATGCAGACACAAACAAAAATAAAAAGAAGGTAAAAGAAAAACAGGTTCTCCATTGGGATTGGGCAAACATTTTCCAATGTCGATTGCGATGATGATGCCGATGCCGATGCCGATGCCGAACGAGCTGCAGATGTCGTGGGAATCTTGGCCAGCCTAAAGCTGAAAACTTGTCAAAGCGAATGCCATGGAAAATTAGCAAAAATCATTGCAAATCAAATGGAAGACATGACAGGCCGCAAAGAAACTTTTCAGCCAGCATCGAAACACCAGAGATTGAGTGCCGTACATCAAAGTTCAAAAGTGTCAAACGTTGTAGCCACCTTCTCCACTCCTCCGCCATCCCCTGAACATGGAGCCCGCTCATCCACTTTTCCTGGGGAACTTTTGAGGGCACCGAGAATGGGCACACACTCCAAACTCCAACTCCAAGCTCCAAACTGGTCGACTGTCTGGTCCGGGGCTTAAGCCAATTTATAGTTTGTGTGGTGCCGGGCGACATCGATGCTGTTTTCCCAATGCCATCGGCTTAGACGCTTGAAAAGTTTGCCTCTACATCTGCCTTTGCCTGTGCACACAGAAAAACACAATCGAAGTTGCACAACTAGAACCATAAACCACAAAAGCGTTAGTTACGAACTTTAAGTTTTATATATTTTTCTGCGCTGCCATAAAATGTTTTTAAAGTTATAAAACAATGCTAGTGGCCGAAGTAAGGCATTTTAACTGAGATTAGGATTATAATCCAACTATCAGACGATTTTATTACTGAACATTGTTTGACCAGATAACAACTCTGATTTTAAATATATTTTGCATGTTAGCTTTCTAAGTCTTCTTTCGTTTAAGTTTTCAATTTTCCATTAAAATTCAATAAATTAAATTAAAAGCATTAGTTACGATCACTTGAAGTTTATGTTTTATATTGTTTTGTGTTGCCATTAACTATATTTTTAAAGTTATAAAGGTTTTCTTTGGTGAAAGTAAGGGATTTTAACATTTTGCTAATGAATATTATGCGAATAGTATTATTTTATTGTTAACAAATTTTAGCATGATTTCATTATTAATGAAGTTTTTATTTATTTAAATGTTTTTCATTAAGATTTTTTTCTTTTACTTGCTTAAGTATAATTTCATATTTATAGATTATGAAATAGCATTTTAAAATGTTATGTTATTTTTAATTATTTTTCTCTGGGTGTGATTTTCCCCAGGTTTTGGCTGCTGCTTTTTCCCAATGCTAACCAACAAGGTCGTGAGGTGAGCTGTGAGCCGAGATCTGGAAGCTGGGACTATCAGCTTGGACAAACATGGGAGTACGTATGGGCTGTGTGTTCGAGTGGCAGGGGAAACTTGAGCTGTGTCAAATGTGGGTCAATCTTAAGCTAACCAAATAAACGATTTGTCCGAATCCAGAAGCAAGTCGTGCAGTAAAGAGGCCAGATGAGATTGAATTGGGCTTGAGGCTGGGAAAAATGCAGAAAGACTGAGGAAAAATGAGAAAAAAATTGTAAGAACAGATTATTTGTTATGACAACAGTTTGCGAAGAAAATGAATTGCTTTGATAACATAAAAGTTAATATTTTAAATTAAGTGAAGCACTTCGCAGTGAGAATAAAAATTTATAGTCAATAGCTATATTAAAAGGGAGCTTATGATTAATCAAAATCATTGCTACTGATGTGTCGATTGATAATGCTCATATTTTATAGACAATGTTGATAAGCTTGTATCTTTATGGGTGTTTTGGATGATTGAGAAAATAAAGTGTATTGTTGTGCTTTTTACTTTTTCGGTACAATTGCTGTATTATGAATCGAAATCATAATATATTTTACGTTTATTTTCAGCATTGTTGAATATTTTTGTATGAATATTTGATTTATTCCGACTGCCTCAATTCCGATCGCTCTTACGAACTGCAACAATTGCTGGCAACACTGCTGCACTCTTCAATTTTCATCCACTCTGCCTGGCAGCCCAATAAATCCTGGAGCCCCTCGACGTCAGCTCCAGGGCCTGGACACTCTGGATACTCTGGATATGCTGGATATTGTTCACATTCAGCTCCTCCGGGCTGACAGCATCGGAGCCCGGTTTTTTTTGCCTGCATGAATATTTCATGAATGCCACTTCTCGCAAATAAAGTTGTTTGGCAGTCACATTTTGTTGCCGCTGTGGCTGCTGATGTTCCCGATGTCGATGCCAATGCGAATGCCGTTTCCCGTGTCAATCAATTCATGCAGACAAGAGACCTCTTGACTTTGGGACATATATTCATGCCAACCTCCTCCTCCTCCTCCTTTCGCTTTAACATTACGCATACGTCGCATAAGCCGCTCGCTAAACATGCCATCAAGGGGGCGGGGCCGGGGGCGGCCAAAGCGAAACATTTTTATCGCTGTCAGGAATTCTCACAAACACAAACAGCAGCAGAAGCAGCAACAACTAAAACAGGAGCAGCAGTGGCAAACACTGTAGCCACACCAGCAACAATTCACTTTGGTCATTAGCATAAGAGGCGGGGGAATTTGCCGGCCAGCGTTGCTCTTAATTACACATTCCTAATGTGGGTCATTCCGACCCGAAACCCAAAAGACAGGCTGTGGATGATGTTTTCGCAGTAGGAGCCGGAAATTAAGATCTATCAGGGCAACGAGTCATAGATTAAATATCGTGACAATGATGTTTCAGTTGGGCGAACGTCCTTAGCTAATTAATGGCTTCATTTGGAAGCTGCGACTTTGTTTTTAAGAAATTGAATAAATTCCTTACTTAGAATAGGTGCTTTAGTTATTTGATTTGAGTTTTTTTTATTTTTAAATAAGATTAAATAGAGGGTAGTTCAAACTTATTTATTTTAATTTGTTTCCTCTTATTATTTTTCAACACTTTGGTGCTTTGGATTAGTGAGATACCAATTTGAGTAGCTTAAAAATGCCTTTTAAATGCCATTTATAAATATATTTGCCACTAGAGTTAAGAACTTGACAATAAAGTCTTACGGACCTAAAAACTCGCCACTGAAAAGAAGCTGTGTTTCGTTAAGAATTGAGAAAAAGAATGGGCGATCGGCAATGAACGTAAGCTTCTCTGGCTCTGACTTCAGTGGGGCAGCTAATAAGTAAAAATAAATACATAAATACGCTGAAAAATGTATAAATTAGACTAAACTTACAGTGCCCAATTTCAAAAGGTTCCTCGTTGATGCCGAACTCATCGATCCGAATAGATGTGGCATGCACCATGCTTGAAAGCTTAATTTTGCTCGATGTAAGTTTGCTAAAGTCAGCATTTTTCTGATGAACCCGACGAATACCCATTCCGTTGAGGGCTCTGGGCACAAGTTCGGCGCGATATTCGAACTCGATCTTGGGCATCTGCACCTCCACGAACTCCATTTTCCCTTTTTTCAATAGTTCAAGAGGATTGTATTGATTAGGAATCTCATATGATTTATTATCAATAACCTGGCGACTCAGTAGAATGAGCAGGGTAATATTGTGATTCAGCGGCAGGTGTAGCAGTTGCAATCCATCAAACTCACTGAACAGAAAGTTACCTACTATGGACATAGAATCAATGGCCACCGGGCGAATCCCGCCGTGTTTATCGAGCTGGCTATGGAAAACCCGCAATCCGGAGTTTTTGGGCTCAAAATTATGGATCCAATGAGCGGTCATGGTGGCGGTTCCAACAGAAATCAGTTCTGTATCCCAATTTATATAACGTCGCTGCAGGATGGAGGGAAAATAGGAACTCTGGTGGGTTTCTTTCAAGGCTTCATTGAACTTATACAGACTTCGTCTCGGGTAGATAAAGTCTATAAAATGAAGTGTGGCTAGATTCTCAATGGCTTTTATTCCGGAATCGAGTACTTCAGTGCCAGCTCTTAACAGCAGAGTATTCGTGTGGTTAAACCGCAAGCTTTCACTTATATTCCGAAGTGGCCGTACATATAAGCCATTGAACTCCTTATGGGTTTCACCATCTGTCAAAACTGAAAGGGTTTCGAGGGCCGTCAGCACTACGGGATGGCAGATGAGAACGCCAGGTGGAATGTGTTTTGGACCCGATACCCATTTGTATATAAGTTGGTTAGTTAAGCTGGGGCTCGATATGCCACCACCCAGAAATAAAAGCAGTACGATAAGTTTCAACCATTGGGGATCTGAAATAAAGTTGATCTAAAATAATTGTCTTATCAATAGCTTATTTATATTTTAGTTACATTTCATTTTCTGCCTTCTAGGTTTGCTTCATATGATATTTTGTTGTAAACTAGTTTTTGTTTTGTAGATTAAGTAAGTAGTGAAATTAGTTACACTTTTATCCTCGATATTATAAAAAGCTTAGCTAATCGCTTTAAAATTGGCGTTTATTTATTAAAAATATAGAGATTAGATACATAGTTTTGCTCCTATTTAAATAAGTTACTTAGAATGTTTTTCTCTGATTGTCTATTAAATTTGAGTCAAAGCGTTTAAAGTCAAACTAAATTTTAGGGGTTCATGGATAATTAAATAAATTTTATAAGCTATTGCTATATTGATATTATCAGGGCTTAGCTAATCGCTATTAAATTGCACTTATTTTATTTGAAACATAGAGCAAACTAAAGTGTTTAAAGTCCAAGTTATTAATTCTGTTGGCATATTTAACCTTTTCCAAGGGATACTAAATCATCTAGCTGTTTCGGAAAAGCTTCATCTTAGTGCACTTCATTAACGCCATATAAATGGATCTTGGCTTGAGAAACGACTTGAACTCTGAACCCGCGGTTCTCAAAATTCAGACTCCGACGAACGCGAAATTAATTAACGTTGCTGCAAACTTTGGCCACTACAATCTTTTGTCATAGTTTTCCACTCGTTCCATTTGGTGACCCGCCTGCAACTTCGTTTCCACTCCTCGTCTTAAGTTTTTCACAACGGAAAAATGTCACGCAAATAAGAAAAGCAACGTTTTCCGCAGAGGGGTGCAGGGTTAAAAGCGTCCAGTGGAGTGGGCAAACAAAACTTAAAACTGGCTGGCAGCCATTTTGTGCAAAGTGTTTCAGTTTCGGTCCGATCCACTGCATCCTCTTATCCTTCCATTTTTCCGAGAAACAAGAGTTCCCCGAGGACAGTCGTTCATTTTGGCCTTTTTGTTTTGTCTCACAAAAAGCGGAAAAGCGGGCAGGAAAATCCTTCGCATTTGTTTTTCTTCCGCTGGACCTTCACTTCCTTGGAAGAAAACGCAGAGCCCTTTAATTATTTGTTACCCACTGTCCAGAGCAAGGTTTTAAGCGCACAATTAAATGTTTAAGTGCGACCGAAAAGAAAAATCAAGGAAAGGGAACAAATTTCCCAAGGCATAAATCGTGGGACTTACATTGCAAGCAATGCAATTGGAGCAATTGCTGCGTTTCATTTGTTTCACCCGCGTGTTTGTTTCCCTGTTTGTTTGTTTGTTTGTAGCTGTGTGTTTGCCGCCGAAATTGAATTTCTCTCTTGCTGAGCGGAAAACAATAAACAAGCCAAGTGAAAAGGCGACGGAGCGCAGCGGAGAGAAAGAGAAAGGGAGAAAGATGAATGACCCAACAGGAAGAGCGAGCGAGAGGAAAGATGCCGGCGGAAGGAAAGCCAAGGTAACCAAGTTGCGTATACGCCACGTTGCTCTCGAGCTGACTTTTGTTGTATGCAGCTCTTTGCGAAAGGGCTTAGTTGATTTGATTAGCGGCGTGGAGAAAAATTAAAATATTGCAGAGCTTCACAAAGTTTTAATGGAAACATAGATTTGATTTTTATTTAAATCAAGGAAAAACAATTGCGAAATTATATAAAATATACAACTAGTTTATGACAAAAAGATTTGTAAGTTAAGTTTATTAAGTTTATGTACAATAAATTGAAGTTCAATTTTGAATTTTGTTTAAGGCTGGTAATGATACATAATAATAAGTACTTGCTTTAATTCTACCATATACTTGTATTAACAGAAATGTTTAAAATATGTTTATTTGCCTTTTATATTTTTTCTTTGCATATTTGTATAGTATTTTTAATATTAAATATTAAATTTTAATATTAAACTTTTTAAGACCATTATTATAACACTTAACACGCTTATCTTTATACCTTTTTCTTAAAAATATCTGAAGAATAGAGTTTCATCCAATAAATGGCTTTGAAGTATTTTAACTCGGGCTTTCAGGGTATCTCAAAAGTCACCTTAGCCAAAATATTTGGTATTACCCTTTTCCCGAGGGCTTTTTGCCCGCCTGGTGTCGCTTTTCTTGGCACATTGTTTGGCCGAAACGGAAGGAAACACTTTCATTATCACTTTGGCGCTGCAAATTTATGGAGTCAGCCGAGCGAAGTCGCGACTCCTGGGAGGCGGAGGCCAACTCACGTATCCCTCGATATCGCAGGGCGAGGAGCGTGCAAAATGTAAAGTAAAGCGGAAAACGATAAAGGCATTACCACCGCGAACGGTTGTGCAATCCCCCTGACCAATCGATGTCGACTGATGTGTGGGGAGTCAGTGTCTGGCCGGGATTACGGGCAGTTCATGACGAGCCATGGCGGCTTTTGTTGGCTTACTATCTTTGCTCCTTTTTTTCGGGGCTATCCTGGCTGAAGAAGCCGACGAGGTTGAGGAAACGCCCGAGGCCAGAAGGAAATGGGGTGGGCGGTATGGAGATTACAACTTTGCCGGATTACTATATAACCATGTTGCGTCTACGTTGAATGGCAACCGGGAATTTTTGATCTCACCACTGGGGGTTTCACAAGCCCTGGGATTGCTTCTCTTCGCGGTGGGTCCAAAATCGGCGGCCGAAATCGATGGCCTTTTATACCCAAAAGGGGCGAATGCAAGTGGCTTGCGACCTCGTCATCTTCTGCAGAGTGGTAAACTGACGTACGCGACAGTGGCTTCGTTGCGACCGGATGTCTATATAGATCCCGGCTTCCTAAGGGATGCTGCTGAACTGGATTCCTACGTTTACAGGACCCACTTTGCACGACGGGACCTAAAGTCCTTGAACACTTTTCTCAAATCGAAGTCCCAGGGAATTGACGTCAACCTACAATACTTACTGGACGATTATTATCCTGCGAATCGCCTGCTATTTTTCAATGTCTTGGACTTTGAGGCGCAGTTTAGGTATGGCTTTAATATTGAAAAGCGAGCTTTGGTGGCCACAAGGACCTTGGCTTGGCATGGACACATTCCGGAGTTAAGAAGTCGAGTCTTGGGACTTCCTTTAAAGGAATCTAGTGCCCTGCTGCTGATCCTGCTACCCATTCGTAAGGCAAAAGTGCAGATGGTTGAGCGTAGACTAAGCACAGTGGATGTGCGAAAGCTACGCAGCCGATTGAAAATAACCCTGATGAACATCAGCCTGCCCAAGGTTGAGATACGGCAGCTCCTCCAGTTGCGAGAACCTCTGAGAAAAGCTGGAATAACCACAGTCTTCAACAAGACCAGCGCCGATCTCAATGCCTTCAGAACGGAGCTGCCATTGGATGACGTTATAGTTTTCACGAAAATCAACATCTTTAGTCAAGGCATCAATGCGGGCACTTCGAATACCACCAAAAGCGAGCAAATTGCCCAGCAGGAGACGGATAACGAGCGAGCATTCGTCAGTGAGGAGAAACCCCTGCAGTTCGAGGCTCTGAGACCGTTTATTTATGCGGTCGTGGATTCGCGACATGTCTACCTAATGGGTCGCCATTTCCCGACTTTGTGATTGTAAGCTCGGAAAATCGTGAAATTAACTCAGAATGCAATAAATAAATTAACAGTTTACTGTAATGGTCGTTGTATATTGGCACGAAAGCACTAATCTATTTTGTTATTTCTAAACTGAAATGGAAACTTCGGCCGGTAGTAATAAACAGTATTGGATTTGTCGCATAAGTTACAAGGTAATTGCAAAAATAAGTACTTGGATAAGTTATAAGATTCATTTTTCATGAGTTTAGTTAAGGTAAAATATGAAAAAAAGGTGTAAGAAAAACAAATTATATCTTGCATATGCGATGAAATTAACTTATCTTCAAGCTGCAGTGAAATTATGCCATTTTTTATAAGCACATTTGCGAAAATAATACAAAATTAAATTTTTAGGTATTAAGCTTACTTGATAACAGAAATAAATAAAAATAAAATACTGCTTTTAATCGTAGTAAACTAATTAATAATATTATTTAACTAGGCTGGATGAGTTTCACTAATCGAATACTACATTATTTTCTTTCTTTGTTATTCATTTTATCATTTCTTTTAGCCGTCAATTCAATTAAGTTTATACGTTCCTTAGACGATTAAATCACTTGATCAGATAAACCACCATTATTTTTATACATTAGCTCTTAACGTTTTTGTGTTTTTCTAGTTTTTCTTATATTTTTCATTCCCTTATTCACTTCAGTGGGTTTTTCTTGGCCCACTCTGTCGGTGGTCAGCTATAACAATTTGCGAAAATTAGCCAAGGTGTTTTATGGTCATCACCATCGACTCACCCGCTCTCTCTCTTTGTAGGAAAACAGTCATCGGATGAAGGAGCCGTGGCACTTCGAAGTTGATTGTTGTCCGGCAATGTGAAAATGTTTACTTTTTCTTCGGCTTGCTTTTCCAACACTCTCTGCCACTCGTTTGGCTGCCTTAGGGGGCTTTTTAATTGAGGTCTAAGCTGTAATTAAGCAGCTCGGCCTTTTGCCATGTGCTCTAATTCTATTTTTGCAGTTTAATGAAGTCCTTGGCTGCAGAACGTTCCTCTGTTCCTCCGCTCGTCGGCTCGTCGTTCGTCGGTCGTCCTCTCGTTACCTGTCACCTGGGCAAATTGGCTGGCATTATTCATTCACTGTCCTTTAAAGCTCTGGCCCAGGCAGACGATATAGCCTGCCAGCCGGTCGTTGTTCTGACCCGGCTTAAATGCCAATATATCACTGGCTAACAACGCCGCCTGTCCGGTAAATTTGTGAGCAAGATTATAGGTGAGGATTTCTAAAAGCTAAAATTAAAAGAACTTGTTTGGCTATTACTCATTCAATTAATCAACTATTAACAACTGTTGAGTAATTAATAGCTAAAAACTTTATGTTCATAAACTTTTAAGTTTGCAAAACTAATTCCTGTAAATATAATAAAAATTTTATATATATTAATGCCAAATTAAATTGCAGAAAAATGTATATTTATTTTTCTTTTTTCAAGGACATGGTAGAACACTAATATTTTCACCACCACTGTTTAAAGATACCTGCAGTGTGTTAGCGCTGTGGAGTATAACATGCATCACACACACCCACATGTCTTCAGAGGATACTAATTATGATTGCGGTGGCATGGCAAGGACATTGAAGCCTCTGTTCGTCCTTGCACCTGCATCAGCCAGATGAGTAAATAGTGTGTGTGTGTGTGAGCATAAGCCGATGTTTGTGAATGGAGAAGCTTTAAAAGCAGCCACACAACTCCAATAAATGGCGTCCGAAGTGAAAGGATATACATACCTTCTTTGATGGGATTGAAGCTTTGGCTGGAAGAGAAATGTTCCAGCAGCTCTCCTTAATCTTCTTTATCGCTGGCTAATTAAATTGTGCTCTCTCTCTCTCAAGTTTTTGGCTAGCTTTTTGGAATTTTTTCAGTTGCCTTTTCATAGATTTTTGGGGAAGAAAACTGCACTTGCTTAGTTTTAATTAAATAAAGATATATACAACAAGGTTGCATAAAATAGTTGTGCTTTAAGAACTTCCATAGTTTAATTTAATTTATATATTTACTAGTTTACTGACATTTTTGATTAAAAAATTAACTTAATAGAATTTTACCATGGTTAATGGCCCCAGTTTACCTTCGATTATTGAATTTTGATCAGCATACCCCTTCATTGGGAAAATCCAATTTACCCCGACGAAATTAAGCTTTATCCTTTGTGTTCTTGGCAGCAGTTCAAACGCCCCCAATCGACCACCCCCTGGGTATTTCAATTTAACTTGGTTACAAATCGCAAGCCCCGTCCTCAGCCCTTTTGCTATTCAATAAAGAACTCAGCCCCAGAGCCGGAGACCATCATAAATTCTCGTCATTCTCAGCTGCACCTTTGGGCGAATACATCTTACCATTTACCCGACATTTTCCCCCTTTCCTTCATCTTTTCACCGCAGAACACCTGTACTGCCACGCCCCGTTCCTGGGGCCATTTGTCAGGAAAAGGTGGGGGGGGGGATTTGGCAGGGGCATCCAAATAGGAATAGCTGCCAAGTCATGTCACTGCCTGCTCATCTACATACACGCAGAGATCCTGCGCCAGGATACGAGGGGAAAAACTCGTATGCGAAAATACCTTCGTGACTCCGTGCCAAGTTGTACGTGTTCGGGGTACCCCCTTTCCTTCCCAAATTTTCCCCCATTCGCGAGTTATATTTACTGTTTTTCAAATTGCACTTTGCAACTTTTGGCTGCCAGCGCTATTTTTCCCAGATCCGGACTTTTTTGCCCCCATGTGTTTATGGCTTCTTAATTGTGTGTTGCAGCCAAAAACTTTTTCCTTTATGACCTATGGTTTTGGCCTTTTTTCCCCGACATTGACAGTTTATGTTAATCTCGGGCTGCAGTAAAAACCCGTAATCAGGTTGATATTAATATTGATTAATTACCCGTCATGTTTGCACATATTCCTACCATAAATATTGTTTTTAAAAATAATTAAAATGTTTTTACACATTCAAAGCCTGATTGGTGGGCATAATTAAGCAGCTTAATTGAGCATGAATTGAATGAACGCAACTATTGGTGGAATGATTAACTGCGATAAAAACGCACACTATGTGCAAATGGATTAATTATGTAAATACAAAATAGGAAATGTAATCCATCTTGGTTTATTTTTTAGTAAATAAATATTACTTTTATTATCTGAAATCATTTAATAGCGCTGCAATAATTTATTGGTTTATAAATAAGAAACGTATAAAGTCAAAATTAATAAATTCTTAACATTTACACAGCTGCCTGATTACCAAATTTACATAATTGTTTTTTAATTAATATATTTCTTATAGAGCTCCCATTAAGGTATAGTTAATATTATATATTGTTTAATTTATTATTCTAAGTAATTTATGTTTTTAAGCCGTTTATAACATTAGTTCTTAATATTCAACTTTTGCCCTTACATACTTATATTTGAATAATTAAGCCCGAGCTCTTTGGAAACGTTTGAAGCTCCTCAGCTTAATTGCGAGCCTGTAGTTTAATACCCATAAGGATCAAATCGCTTTGCAGTCTTGTTTGTGCTGGAATTTTAATTGGTAGCAAAATCAATAATCAGCAATGCGGCATAAACTATTTATGTGTGTCAAACCAATTGCCAATCCTCCCTCCCCCAAAGCTAAAGTCCCTAAACTAACACAAACACCAAACTAACACACACAACTTCCGCTAACTCACACCAGTGAAAACAAAACTGAACTTGAGTCAGGAGTTATGGCAGGCAAATTGACTTGAGGAAATTTTTGCTCCAAAGTATGCAACGATTTTTCGACACTCCATTTGTGTTTGTGTGTGTGTTTTTTGGTGTTTTCCGTTGAATTTTCGTATGTATTTGGGGGATTTTCGGAGGGGGAGGTGTGGAAGGGGGTGTGTCTGCAAGCTAAGCCGAGTCAAAATCTAATTGGATTTGTGCTCACTCAATGAACTGCAAACGAAAAAGTGTTTTATATGATTATTCCACTGGGAGCCTCCGGGGACCCGAGAAATGAACATTTTTATTTCCATTTTGCACTTTCCATAGTCCATTAAACCAAAGTGCAAGTGCTTGCAAAATATGACCCAGACGTCCATACGGAGAAAAAAACTTTGAAATGTAGTTTAGGATGAAAAAACTACATTTTGTTTGAAAATCAATATATAATTTTCATTTGATTAACCGTTATTAAAGGAGTTTAGATAATATATATTTTATTTACCTAAAAAGTTGAAAAATCAATGCATTGAACATTTATGAATTATTATATTGCAATTGTTAAATAACAGTTTTCAATAGAAGCATACTAATTAATTAATAATACTAATTAAATAAGTTTATTTAACAATATCCATTGTGAATGCATTATTTAGAACTAGTTCTTAAGTTTTTGTGCCAGTGTATCTATAGAAATATGTTTTTTATATGCCGCTTGTTGTTCAGCTTTTATTGAGCACTCTTTTAATGGCGACAAAATATTTGCCACGCGACATTTCCAGCAATTAGGTGTAAAAACACGTAGCCAAGAATGGCGAACGGAATACCAGGGCATACTTCGGAATCGAGGGTTTATCATAGCGAAAATCGGCGGCAGCTGAGGCGAAACAAAAAAAAAATTAAAAAGGGAGCACCAGCACCAGCAGCGCCAGCTATCTTTAATGAGACGGAAAGCGAGCGCCAATCGCAGCAATTAAAATTAATTACAGTATTTGTCAGCTTAGCCGGGCTAACTAACTAACTGGCCACCAAGTAAACTCGCCTTAAACCTGGAATTAAACCGAAACCTGGCCAGGATCCATTCACAACCGGCGCGGGGAGTTGGGAGTGTGGGAGAACTGCTTTGATTGCAATCGCGATCGTTAATTAAATGTCGAAAGGAATGTTGTTGGTGTTGCAGCTTGTGTTTGTGTTTGCAGATATTGCAGATGTTGTTGCTGTTGTTGTTGTGGTTGTTGTTGTTGCTGCCTCCTGTGCGTAAAGATCAGCCAACATGGATAAGGGCCAAGCTGCTCTTGCCGCTGGCTATTTATATCTGCAGCACGTTGTTGCACGCAATGCGATGTACATATAGCCAAAGTTGCTGTTGCAGCTTTTTCGATGTTGCTGCTGTTGCAGCAAATGCTGCTGTTGCTGTTGCTGCTGCTGGTGCAGTTGCTGCTGCGGGCATTATCGCCCTTGATCTTGGCTAAATCGAAATCGCCGGCGTTGCGTGAAGTGTTGCAAATGAGTTTTTGTCTGGGGCGTGCATTGCATTTTCAATTGGTCGGCAAATTGCCAGCGCCAACAAAAACAGCCATCAAATCGAAATCACAGGTGGCACAGCTGTATTGAAATTATTATGCCAGTGATTTGGGAAATGGACACTTTAAAAAGTTATAGACATAAAGTACAGATGGCTTTATTAACTTAAATGGTTTAAAATTCATTAACAAATTTCAAGCACGTGAAACAAAATTTAAGTTTCTTCCTATAAATAGCTAATATCCAAAACGACTTGTAAAATATTAATCAATTTTGTTTTTTTAACACAGTTATCCGAAAGTTGACTGTTATTATTATAAAACAAATTCCTAAAGGAGTACCATTTTTATTTTGGGCTTAAATTAACAAAGTTTTGAATTTTAAAAGTGTTTTCCTATAAATCATCCAAAATTAAGAAACAGCGAATATGCTATCTATAAAGATGTAGCTTAACATACATAAAAAACTTATTTATGAAATGGTCAATTCTCTAGTAAACGTTTTTAATACCACGCTCTCTGATAAACAGTTGAAAAATATTTATACTTGATATATAAAGCTCATATGCACTTATATATATATATTGCCAACATTTGTAAGGCAATGCCTTGTGTGTACATGACCAAATGCAGTTGTATAAACAGAAACTTGAGCTATCAATAGATGACAACAAACAGTGGAAAACTTGAGACTCGTTTTGGGGCCAAGAAAACTTTTTCGCTGCATAGGGAAAACTAATGAAAAATGCAGCGCAGAGCAAAAAAATGTTGATTGGTGTCGTCCTCCCAATTCTCTCCATTGCCCTGTTTGGTTTTTTCGCTCCCCAAAACTTGGCCATGTTTCAATTGAAAGAGCCAAACAAAACCAATGAAAAGTCCATAACGAACGGCGGGCGGAAAATGCGGGAAATGCGGGAAAGGGGGGGTAGTGCCAAAGCGAAGCAATTGAAAAACAGCTTCCGTCGGTGTTGCAAATTGTCAATTTCGTGGTCGCTTTTTTTGCACTCGTCAATGGCTGTGTCAAATGCACAGAAAGTTGTTAACCGAAAGTCGATGAACAACTTCAAACTTCTGACAAACTTTAATTAATATTCGGGCTTAATCTGAAAGCGTTTCCATTGAATGTGCAAATCAAAAGATTGCAGCGGCAACTCCCCCCCAGAAAAGCAACAACAATGGAAGCAACTCCAATATGCAAATGAGCCACGTGCATTCAGATGGCCAACGACAAGTGCAGCGGTCAACAAGTTCGAGTTGCAGCTCGAGTTGCAGTTCGTGTTGCCAGCCGGCTTAAATAAGGCGAACTTGTTCGGTAGTTCGATGTTGCCACAGTGATGAGCAATTGATTCATGAAAATAGCTAATAATGTAGTAGAACTAAGTTCCAAAACACATTGTGCTCCAAAGATGAAATTCTGTATCAATTTGGTTTCGATACTTGTGGTATCACTTTGATGTTCTCGAAAAGAGAAAGAAAATGAATAATTATAATTTGTATTATAAATTTACCATTACTCAGTGCTTAAAATTAAACGAGTTTGTTGACTTGTGAAAGTCAAATTGATACTGGCATTCTAAAATTATTTTCAGAATTCTATAGGAAATTCCCGGTTAAGAATTTTATAGAAATTTTTTATTTTATACATTTTTGTTTAGGAATTTGTATTGCTAGTTTCTTATATTTAAAAATATATAGGCTTAAGGCTTAAGTCCTTGCCCAATTTGTTTCCATTTTTACTATGGTCAATGAGTGATGCCAGCAAACATTGCAGAGATTTCATAATGTCAGTCCCAGTTGATTGCCAACTGTCTTCGCAGGCATTAGTCTCATTAAGAACCGAGACCTTCTGTGAAACTCTTATCCAATTCCCCTCCCTCGTGTCCATTAGGGTGGACCGCTCTTGGATTCCCCTATTTCAAATTCCATACTCCACATACACCATTTGCCGAATACGGGCTCATTTGTCATTCACAGACTAACAACAATGTCGGGGTGGGCAACAACAAAGGCCCTTTCTGTGTGTGTTGGCTTATCAGCGAGTGTTTATCAGAAGGAAAGAAGTGACCCATACGCCCACTCCCCTTTCGCCACCCGCACCCTACCATCGAACATGCAACTCGAACATCGAACTTCGAACATGTTACGAGCCACTGTTGCCGGCTAAAACCCCACGGAAAACCTTTATTCTTCGGTTCAAATTTAGTCGATTTTTGACCGTTGAATTAGCAGGTTGCGGTCGGTCTGTAAGTGTGAGTGAGGGAGAGCGCGCGTGCTAAAGTGAATCCGTTGCATTTCTCTTCCTCTTCCACTCTTCGCACCTACGCAGGTGTGTGTGCGAGTGTGTGTGTGAAAAAACGAATCCACAACAACACAAATCACAATCAGCTGTGAAGTTTCTTTCAATGTGTGAAATAAATACGCAAAAGGCTAATAAAGCAAAAATTACAAAATAAATAGTGTGAAATTTCCACACACATATTAAAGCATGCTAATCGAAATAGCTCAAAGCAACTGAGTGAAATCAAAATATCAAAAAAACACAACACACAACCGCGAAGGGGTATATTTTTAGAGAAATTCACTGGCGGAATAAGAACTTGGGAAATTTTGACAGCAGAATCAAGGAGCAAAGCGGAGAGCAGAAAGCGGGGTAAGTTTGTATAGAAATAACGGAAAGGAGAGCTTGGCAATTGTTGTAACACGCGATAGGGCGGCATGCCATCTCATTTCCACTCACTTCGCACCTGCTTCTCCCCCTTCCCCACCCACTGGCGCCATCTCTTTTTCGCCTGACAGCAGATCAAACAAAACATTCATGTTTGTTGTTGTGTTGTTTGTTTGCTGACTTGGTGTGCGTGCACCGTTAACTTGGACTGACATTTTACAATGCTGCCTCTTCTTTCGCCACCTCTTGTTCTTCGTCTTGTCTTAGCCTTAGTACAAGTCTGCCCATCAACTCTCTTACTCATTTTTAGCGAGCTTTCGACTTTGTCTGAGTGCTGAAGACAAAAACAATACAAAACATAAATATGCATTCCGTCTAGGATAGTTGCACACAGAAAAAAATATCTAAAGTTTGCTTTATTTTAGATTGAAAGTCTTAAATTTATATATAACAAACATCAAATAATCTCTTTTGGGAAGGTTTTTTCTTTTATACAAAATTTTTATATTAAAGATATACGGATTTACTATTTAAGACTTAAATTCAGAATATGATCGTCTTACTATTGTAAAACTAATGTGACTTGTGATTACTAAAAAATTGTATTGGAAGAGTTCTTCTTTCTTAAAAAAGTTATTTTGAAACCAAAATTGTGACCTGTGATTTCCAAAATTCCCAACTTCCATTCTTAATCCATTTTACAAAAGCTTTAGTTATCTTGAGTTAAAATTGTGGTTTTGAGTGTGGCTTACAATGTTTGATTTTTTCATTTTCTTAGAGTATCGAAAGTTCATTCTTTACTATACAAAAAAAATGTGTTTTTGCTTGCAAATTACTTTTTATTGGCAATTTCCTTGACTTTGCCGCGCTTTCCTTGTTTTTTTTGGCACTCGCAAAGAAAAATCAATAAATTTCATTTGATTTTTATAGTCGCCTTCTGCTCTCCTAGCAGCTGTGCCTGTGTTTGTTTTTATACGTTTGTGTATTTGCGCTCGAGGAGAACCCTTGAATGGGCCCGCTTTGTTTTTGCCTTTGGCTTTGCCATGGCAGCACTTCACCCACCTCTTCAACTCCCACTGCCACTCTTTTAGTCTCGCTCCTCGACTGTCTGGCTGCGTGCGTTTTGCCGGTTTTTGTTTGGGTTTTTGCCTGAAAAACTCTCTGGCCTAGAATCACAGGCACAAAAAGCAAAAAGCCAGAATTTCCCCCTTTTGTTATTAATTATCAAAGACGGTCGTTAGTTAGACCCGCCTAGATTAGACAGTTGATTGTGGGATGAATTGGTGTCATGGCTGGAAAGAGGGGCTTCATTTATAGCCGTCTAATTAATATGAATTTTTATTATATTTTAGATTGTTAATTTTGGAATTAATAAGAACCAGTTCAGCTGGTCAAGTATTATTTTCAACTTGTTTGTGAGGCGACTGTCTTTGCAAGTTGCTCATGTGTAAAAAAAGATTAGATAAGATTAGATTGCTCCAGATATCTTTTGGGGGCGAATGTTATCTTTTGGTGGGGAAGACATCATTATGAAATATTTGGTTGTTTAAATAAAAATAATTACCTTCATCCGCTGTCTAGTTGAGCGCATTGCGTTAATAGGTTTATTAGCAAATAGATAATAATTGGCTAAAAGAAATAATGTTGAATGATTTATCTCTACAATTTTCAGTTTTTATTGGCTTACAATATAATAATTTGCAAAGAAAACATGTTTTAAAAGATTTATTATACGCGATGGCAAAGTCTTGCTTTCTAATGTCAAATTTATATGAGCAAAGATATGAGTGTGCGTTTGGACTGCATAATTTTTCCATTCGTTACATTTTAATATGCAGCAATTTTTAATTTTCTTGATAGAGCTATTTAAATTAAACCAACTCTCTGTGACAAGGGAAAATGTCATTTGTCTTAATGCCTGCGGAAACTCATTTTTTCCTATGGCATTTCCTCAGCTTATATTTCCATTTAGTATTTGCTTAATTTCATAAAATGTACCTTCATCGCTGTCACTTGTCGTTGGTTGCCTGTGACAACGACGAGGGCTGCGTTTAATTTCATTTACATTTCCATTAAAACGGGTTTTAGGTGAGAAAGAGACCTGGGTTCAGAGGTCTTTTCGGCTCTTTGGCTCGTTTGATGCTTGGTTGCATCATTAAGAAGCAGCAACGGCAATTAAATTTAATTATTTATGTCGACCACTGGCGTCAGGGTGAAGAAAAAAGGGTAAAGGTTGGGCCAAAGGCAAAGGTATGGATTTTGGTTGGGGGGGCCACCTGTGGTCAGGCGGCAAAAGTTGAAGCTGTTGCCATTTATGTTAATTTCGATGAATTAATCACTCCGCATATTAGCATGCCTTTTGACTGGGCTTACATCATGGCCCATTCTTTGTGCGCCATTCGTGTTAGTGCGGCATAAAGTTTTGGTATAATATCGAGCAGGTGCCAGCTAAAGTTTCGATTCTTCTCGTACGGCCTCCTCTTCTTTTGGATTTCGCACGTCTGCACGTTCTTTATTGGATATATACAAAAAAAAAAGAAGAAAGAGAACTAGGGAAGCACAGTTTAGTTTGCAGCAAAAACGAGCAAAAAACAGTTGTCAAAATGTGGTACATGGGAAAAAAAACATTATACAATATTCTTTGTCTTCGAGCTAGTTGCACGTTTTGGCGTCGGATCGAATTGCTTGCTGGTATCTAATGTACGGTATGTCGCAGGGATTGATGGGCGTTCTAAGGGGGCGAAGTACTCGAATCGGTAGTCAAACTGAACTATTCTGCAGCACGTTCAAGTTGTTGGGCGGTGCTGATAAACCCAACCTTAACCCAGTTTAAAGCACACTTGATAAGTTTGAGAGCGGATAGTTAAGAGTATCCAATTTAGACAGACGAGTGACAGGTTGTTGGAAATCGAGTTTGTGATATGGGGACACCTGCTTTTCAGGTATTTGATTTGTGTTTTGGTTTATTTATCAAATATAGGGTAAAGGGTACTTACTTAGTTTCCCTTTTTTGCTAATAGTTATTCTTTAACTAGTTTTTACTTGAAATAAAATTTATTTTATAGAATTACTCTCCAAACCAATTGTCCTATTGTTATTCTCTATTTTCCTTATAGTTTTCCTTTTCCCGTAATCTATTTACAGCTGACCTACTAATTTATCTCTCCGAGAAAGTTGCTCCTTGCTAGATTCCTTTAGCACAAAAGCTGTAGCGTAACTCCTTACTCTGAGAAAAACGAGATCTTTTGTCAAAACTTGCGTTGTTTTGGTCTTCTGCTGATTTCGGGTTTATTTTTCATGTTTTATGTTTTGTTTGTTTCTGGTTGGCCCCTTTATAATTCCGCTTCCTTTAGCTGATAACAATGCAGAACAAAACTTTTTAGCAGGCTTTTATACACTCCCCTCGCACGTTCACTTATTCAGTTTGGGGCAAGAGTGTGAGTACCTCAAATTTGCTGGAACATTTTGGCAACTGCTTTCAGCCGCTTTGCCTTTTTGGCTCTTTTATTGTTTGCAGCTCCTCTTCAAAGGAGTGCGGAAAGTCTGACGCGTAATTCATTACTTGTTGAGGGTTTGTTCTGGGGGCCTTAGTCTGGCTTTGTATTTGTGCTTACTTAGGCACATTCCCCTGGCCCTCCGACGGTTTGCGGAAGTTTCAGCTGAGATATCGCAGAAACTACTCGTATTTGCTGAGTTGCTCATATTTTGCTCTCCGCTGGACCATTCGCCTCTAATCTGTCGGCCTACGTCTTTCCTCCTCTAATTCCTCCGAAAGTCTGTTCATAATGTAAACAAAGCGAGCACAAAAATGTTTTAATGCGATAAGCAGTTTCTTAGATTGAATATATGAACATTTCCGTTCCTAGCGAAAGTGACCGTTTTACTCATTTATTGTTGAATAAAAAAGGTTTTTTGACCTTTTGGCGGAAAATCCCATAAATTAATAAGTAGCCGCAAGTGGTTCAGCATGGCGGAATGCTTATCCCACACTCTAAATTCCCTCAGGGCATTTCAGTAAACAGTGAAGCATTTGGCAGATACTCAGAGTTAAGACTTGAAAATACTTAGTAAGCCAAAAAACTTTTTGAAATATTTACTAAATTTAATGAACTTTAGTTAGTATCCCAAAAATATGAAGTTTTAAAGCCTTGAGCTCAAAAAGTATATTAATTATTTTAAAATAAGTATAAGCTGTATAATAAATTCGGCAAAGATTCACTTAAGTATCTGTTAGGCTCAACGCATAAATTTATCGGTTCGCATTTTGTATTCATAAGTTGCCGACGAGTATTCCCACAGCAGGATCCTGGGGCAATATACCCCAAGTGAATACAATGTTTAACCATTATGTCAGGCCCACATGCGAAGGCTTTCTTCATATATTCATAAAATTTCATACACATAAATTCGCCGACAGTTTACATTTAGGCATGTGGTATGGAGGAACCCTTTTGTTTATATGATAATGAGAGCTTCTGCGTCTCTGAGCGGGTTTCTGTTGATTTCTCCCAGACGATCTATTTCGCCTGGTTTTCAGCCTATTTTGGCCAGAATTCCTTGCCTGCCGTTGCCCTTCCCTTCCCGTTGGCCCCAAACCATGACATGTGGCGGCGGGCAACAAGCGGGCTGCTGGCCAATTTATGGCCATGGATACTATAAATTGTGGCCGGGCTATTGATTTGCTGTTGCCATTCTGCTGCTGCGTGTGCTGACAGTTGACAGTTGAGTTACAAGGTCATTAAGTGGGGTGGGAGAGGGTGAGGGTGAAGAGTGGGTGGCAGGAGAGTTGGGTTGCGAACCCCCGAACGTGAACCCGTTTGTGCGTCATGAGATACAAATGTATCTGTGTATCTATCGTATCTAACACAGTGCGTGTTTCTTTGCGCAATTACGCTTAATGTCCAAAGCGTGGATTCATTTCCGTTTTAAACAATCTTTTTTGTTTTGAGAGTTTTTTGATTGATTGATGGTTTTGGTTAGAGAGG